TATTTCTTACCAAAAGAATTTAAATTTCTACAAAAGTTATTTCTATTCCAGTAAAGTGCTGTAACCCTTTTCGAATAAAATCTCATTCAGTACACTACGATCTTAGAGGTGTTATACATTGGGATTGGATGATACAAGTGAATTCTAGCTTATCAATTAATCAAAAAACTTGTAGTTTTTGCAGGAAGAAATTAAAAAAATATTCAACAAATCCCATCTTACCTTTTACTTCTACGATCCCTATCACATTACTTTCTATTTCTAACTTATCTTCTACCTCAACTATTAATGAACTGAACTTGATCAACTATGCAATAATTACTAATCTTATACAGATTTTAATACTTTAAATGAAACTTTTCCATTTAGGGGAGACACCTATTAAAAAGAAAAGGTTAAATGAAAAAAAATATCCTGTAAATAAATTTTTGAAAATTCAGGGAAAAATTAAAAAGCTTTTAAAATTAATCTAAAGGATCAAGCAAAAAAAAAATGAAGCCGAAATCATAAATCAACTGAAAGAAAAATTTGCTACGCAATGAAAAAATACAAATTTTAACAGTTTTACCAAAATCTTGAATTCTAGATAAAATTGAAAAATAATTTTCAACTACAAATTTTATGGCCCGGACAACTAAACAATTAGTTGAAGAAAAAAGTGTTCTGTCAAACCCAAATATCATAAAACCAAGTAGAATAATTCCGGATGACGTTGCAAATAAAGTAATAGAATTTTATAATTCTGATGAAAACAGGTATGATAATTTTTTATCAATGAAAGTTAATGGGAAAAGGAACCAAGTGTAAAAGATATTAGTTTTATGTAATATAAGCAAATTATTTACCAATTTTAAAGAAATAAACAGAAATATTAGGTTTCAGCAAGTTTTCTATCATGAGACCAAAAAACTGTAATTTAGCAGGCGGGTCTGGAACACATACAATGTGCACCTGTTTATTTCATCAAAATTTTAAATTAATTATAATTGGTGGTAAATTATATCAGTTAACTGCAAACCAGCTTAACTATTCATTTCCTTCCTTAAAAGATATAAACACTACATTGCACAAAGTCTATGCAATCCAGTCCAGCCTTGCTGTTACTTAAGGAAATGCCAAATGTGTCCCGGCACTTTGGACTTAAATAAGGATTACATTTATTGTTTAATAATAATGCCATAGATTATATAATATTTGAACAATGGTTGGCGGCAGACCGTACTACCCTCGAAACGTTGACTAAGTCCGCCAGTGAATTTGTGGAGTTTTTGATTGAAAAATTAAATATTTTAATTCCTCATGCTTTATTTCTTCGGAACAATCTTCATTTTTTGTCATTAAAATCGAATTTGAAGAATGGGGAATATTTATTAATATCCGATTTTGCAGAGAACTACGCTTTGTACTTCAATATCACGCTCAAGATTTCCATTGGACTAATAATCAGGCAACATTTCATCCATTTATGATTTATTACCGCGAAAGCGATATCATCAAACATGTAAGTTACATGGTTATATCAGATTGTCTAAAACAGATTACTTGTTCTTTTTATTTATTTCAAATAAAATTAATTCCTTTCTTGAAAGAAAGATTTGATAATATTTTTTTATTTTTCTGATGGAGCTGTTACCCAGTATAAAAACAAAAAAACTGTAAACCTCTACAACCATTTACAATGATTTTGGATTAAGGCAGAATGACATTTTTTGAACTGCAATTGGCAAAACTCCTTGTGATAGTTTAGGGGAAATTACTAAGAGGTCAGCAACGTTGAATATTTAAGAATGGAAACCAATCTCGAAAATAGATTTTTAACGGCCAAACGAATTCCCGGGACACAAAAATAGCATTTATTTATTCCAATGGAAGGAAAAATAAAGGTCAAATTTTATTCTAATTCATTAGATTATTTAATGTATGATATTATTTAATTAATGTTTATTACAATATTAATTTCCCAATGATATTTATGTAATATAAATAATTAGTTAAATAAAGTTAGATATTTTTAAAATTATTTTCTTTCTAAAATAAAGTAGCTAAACTTATGGGTTAAATATGACACAATGTCTACTAGTGATCTGCATAGGGCTTAATTTTTCTAACATGACCCTAAAGTTTTATAAAAAAATATATCCGACCCGATCTCAAACGAGTTTTCTTTTTATTTGTTTCGTAAATTACTATACATTTGGTATAATATAGGATTTAAGCCATACTACTTACATTTAAAGTGTAATAATTATGGGCCCAGTACTCGTCCCAATCTAGGATTTTACAAATATTAAGAAGTATAATGTCTATCTGTAAAAAAAATTTGAAAGAAAAAAAGAGCAATTTTTATTTTATAGCCATTTCCGGTTTTCTATTTCCTGTTTTTGGTAATAGACTTATTTTCTAAAATAAATTTTATATCATATTAAAGGGCTATTCTAGACCTATTTAATCAGATTTAAATTGTATTTTTAGCTTGATTACTTTTTGAGATATTTAAAATTAAATATATTGTATTTTGGAATTTTCGCGTTTCTAAAGATTGCCATTTTAGTTAGTGTATATAGTACCAACATACAAATTTTTTTAAAAATCGAGGGGATCGGGTTGAGAATCGACTTTTTTTTGGTTGATTTAATATGGAATACAATATATAGGTTAAAAAAAATTTTCTAAAATATTTATTTTTTAAGTAACGAGTAACCCGTCAATTTATTGAATAGCCAGTAACGCGCGTTCTTTTTTTTCACAAGGTAACGCGTTCCTTTTTTTCAGGCAATACGAGTAACGCGTTTCTTTTTTGAAGTAACGTTGCAGCACTACCTAAAACAAACCAAGATAGGGTGTCCTCGTTTAAATTTTTTTAGCTTATTCTATAAAGCAATTAACTATCCAAATTATGCCGACCTAGAACTTAAAATTATTAAAAAAATATCTTATCTTATAATATATTATTTTATTTATAAATTATATATAAAAAGATATCTTCTTAATATTATTATTTGCAAAATTTTATTTATAATATATATAGGGGAATAATTTTTTTTTTATTTAACATCTAATTTTTTACGTAATGAATAACCCGTTACTTTTTGAATAGCCAGTAACACGCTTTCCTTTTTTTAGTAAGGTAACGAAACATTAACGCGTTCCTTTTTTCAGACGTAACGTGTAACACGTTTATTTTTTGAAGGAACGTTTACAACACTATTTCTGAGTAGATTGATTAATCTTAAAAGGTAGCAACCTACCTGTTGAAAATTTAAAATTTAGATTTTATGAAAAGCGATTATTTCTTGCCAATAGAAATATTCGTAGTGCTGTCAAATCAACTCAATAATGATAATCGAAAAAATCGAACCTTGAGCAAGAGTATATTTTTTTTCATGATTGAGGTATCTTAAGTTTAAACTTCTATTAGGGGGAAAAGGATAGTTAACACTTAAAAATTCAGTTTAGCCTTTCTAGAGTCGATTCAAAACCTGCTAAAAATGGAGCCATTTATCATCACTACTTGGAATAGCAGAAGAGGCAAATATTTATAAAATTTCAATTGGGGGGGGGGGGGGGTATAAATTTTTTAAAGAAAGAGAATGTATCTTGCAATTTATTTGGCCTAATAAAATTTTAATTGTTTTTACATTTAGATTTTAATTTTTAATGGCTAATTAAAATTTAATAAATTTGGGGCAAAATTTCTTTATAATAACTTTCCTAGTGGAGTATACCCTGAGGCACCGGGAGATGCTCAGGAAAACACCTTACATTACAATTATATATTTTCAACCATAATTTTTGAGTATAACATAAGTTATTCAATATTTCATTTTTGTCGTTGTACTTCCAATTGGTTAAAGAATGAATGAAAGACGAAAATAAAATTTAGTTTTAATGGCATATAAAAAAATAACTCAAAATTTATCTTTTGATTCATTTTGTTAAAATATAAAAATCTACCATATTAAAGCGTTATTGTATTTATATTTTTACAAATTTTCAAAAAAAATTTATGTGTAAAACTGTTTTACTTTAAAAAAAATATTGGCCCTCTCAATTAATAGTTAACTCCCCTACTGGAAGTTCCTGGCTACGGGCCTGTTCGTTATTAAGTAAGTCGAGGATTATTAGATAGTGTTTTTTCATAATTTTATATTGAGGGGTGGGGCTTAAAATGTCTAGGTCCATTAAAATAAAGATAAGAATGATAACGACATGCATTATGCTTATGCACTAATTGAAATATTACTATATACCAATACAATTCATATTTTAATATTTAAAAAAAAAATTAATTTAATATACAAATATAATCAAATCGCACCATAAAAATTTTAAACGCCACTCCGCCTCCATAAAGAAAAAATGGTTTTTTAAATTTAACACTTGAAAAATTATTAAAAAATTGAGGGGGCTCAGCTCTCATTCAAAATTTTGAAAGGGGGCTAAAAATAAAAAAAACAATAGGAGGCTTAACCCCCCTCGTAATACGCCATTTCCAACCAACCTTGGTGTGTATACAAATTTAATAAAAATGAAAGGGATCTGAATCATGATCGATCGTGGTATGTTAATCGAGTCTCTTAATATATTTGAACTTCTATGCATATGGAATAAATTAACTAACATTTATGATATGAATTCACCTAAAATCCAAGATTTAGCATATCAGATCGATTTTGATGGGGACATAGGATTAGCCAGGATTTTGCTGTGAGGGGGGGGGGGACATTATTGGATGGATTTTTTCATAAATTTTATTGGAGGTAGGTACACTTATTATATTCTTTGGTTATGTTACATTTTTATAAAAATATATTTGGTTTTCACTTTCCTCTTTCAAATTATTGTTTATTTTAATATATTATTAATATGTTTGTTAGGGTGGAAGGGATATAAGGGAAAACCCTTCACCCATGGAAAAGTGGATCGGTGCTACCCTATATCTTTAAAAATCTTAATTTATTTGTTTATATATATAAGTTTATAATTATAAATCGGCACAGAGCATCTGAAGGCAAAACGGTCGAAATTCCTTATAAAGGTGATGTAAATAACACAGTGTTGGATATCTTAGGCGGAATGAGATCAGCTTGCACTTACATAGGCGCCGCCAAATTAAAAGAATTAAGTAGAAGGACAACTTTTATCCGAGTATCTCAACAAACGAATCCAATATATATGACACAAGAAATCGCCACTCCCCATTATTATTCCAATATATCTAAAAATTTAGGCAATTTATAAAGAAAAGCATGATACTTGATTATTTACTGATTAATGTATGATATTTTTGAAGTTTTTTAAAATAATTAAATGAAATTGCCCTAATAATTATTTTTCTAAATTTATTTATTCTTATGATGATGACATTACAAATATTTAATAAAAATAATTCATCAAAATACATGAGATTAGGGAAAAAACTATAATTGCTGGATGGGAAACATTTGGTTTACTCATAAAAAGGTAGAGTAATTCCGATTTGAAATTTATTAAATTGTTTGTTATATGAAAATCACAAATTCTTTTGAAAATTAAATGTAATCAATCCATAAATCAATTTATACAAAAAAAAATTAAATTTAAAATCTAAATTAAATAATACAAAAAAAATTGTATTTAAATATAGCATTAAAAATTTAAATCTAAAAATAAAATTAAAAAAAAGGCGCATTGGTTAAAAAAAATTAATATAATATTTAAAACCATTCAAACATAATTTTTCGTGATTTTGTGTTTTATAATAAATATAAATAATTGTGAAAGGACTTTTTGGATTAGCTAATTGTAATTAAAAAAATTAAATATAAAAAATTTATTTTTTAATAAGTATCTCCAGTCAACCAAAAGTACAAATATTCAGACGATGTAAGAATATTAAATACTAAAAATTTAATTTCATATTTGATAAAATCATGATCTTAAATCTATAAGGGAGTTCTACCCAAATTTATACTATAGCAATAGTAAAAGAATAATATATTTTAGCTGAAGCGATACTTTCAAAAAATAATTATCCATTTTTTTGCTTGGTCCATTTGATGAGCGTCTCTGGTGAGCGGTACAAAAATATAAGTTTTGCAAATAGTTCTTCTTCTAATTGAAATTCTCCGCTCTCTCTTACCAAATATATGTCTAAGCAAAGTTGTAATACCCTGTCAACGTCCGGTAATTCGTCGAACATTATGCGACCATACAAGCCACTCACAAAAGATCGCACCAACCGGCCTATTACTAGTACCAAGGAAACGTACAATCCTATAATACTATCATTTAAATATAAAATATAATTAATTTGACTTGACAAATTCATTTATTAAATGAGGGGTTACATTTAGCCATTCAAGCTTGGCTCGGGCCTACAAATTTTAAAATATTTTGGGCCAGGCTTGGACTTGAAAATAAAATAATACTTTTTGTTGTTTTATCAAAATGATAATTAGAATTAACTTGTTATACGGAAAAAGTAAATATTGATTTTATTTTTTTAAATGAATGATAGGCTCATTTCTTATTTATTTTTCCAAATGATGTTTGAATAAATAAATTCGAGATATTATTAGGGAAGTTTATATGATGAAACCAGCTAAGGAGAAAAGACATTAAAAATTATTTTAAATTGGCTAAAAAAAGAGGTTTGAGCAAATTTGAGATGCACCGATAAAAATTTTTTTATTCATTTTTTTAGGCTGATAATATCTGCACATGATCTAACTGCTTATCCATCCATAGATTTCGGTAATTTATATTCGGTGAATAACATTTAATTTCTTCGTTATTTGATCATATTTTAAATAGTACCTTTTTAAAAAAATACTTTATAAATTAATTGATTTTCTAAAATTATTCTAAATCTTATTTTTTTATTAAATGATACTAGGTAAAATAAATTTTTTATTAAAATAATATATTTTGTAATATTTTTACAATAAGCACTGATACTTATTGACTTTTTTTAATAAATTTTGAATTACTAAAGCATAAACAAAATTTTAAAAATAATTTTATTAACAATTAAAATCTAAAATAATTTAAAAAAATGTAACAAATGATGAAATGAAATAAAATTATGATTGAAATTTTTTTCTTTTTGATTAGGTCGGATTAGCTGTTTTTTAGAACTGCATCAGCTATGGAAAAGAAATAATTTATTCAGGGAAGTACAAAAGTGGTAATTTTTTAAAAATAAAAATGGTTTAAAAACTATTTTTTAACGATAGGTTATAAAAAAGACAAACATATAGAAAGTTAAATGGACTGATACCAAAAATTACCGAGTATCGCCCCGATATCAATCTTTGGCATCGGTGCATTGTTCTTTACATATACAAACTTGTTTTAAGCCCCCCCCCCCCCAATTTACCATTTCCTATTATAAACTGACTTAATCATCAGCTTCTGAGTAATCAGTCCTCATTTATATAAAAATAATTATATTATATATATACTTACCCGTATTGAGCGAAAAAGGTGAAAGTGCCAGGGAAAACGAGATCGGAGAAGGCAATGATAGTGAGACAACATGGAAGATAGTATTCTTCGTGAGGATTTTTGGGAGCTTCCTTAACTTCCCACCACTGAACCCTGGTCCCTTCGATCCTCTGAGTTTGTAATTTTATCGTTACATCTTTAAAACCCATAGGTCCTTCTAAAAATTTTAATATATTAGATATTTATAATGGTTTAAACATTGCTAATAGCAACAATGGAGTTATATAATAAAAAAAATTGATAACAAAAATACTTGGTATCAAAGGCCTAACATAGCTTGGTTTTTCTTTGGCTGGTACCCTAACGTATCGAGGGAAGACGTGCTCTATCAAGCTTATATTTCAATAAATTATGTTAAAAAAAAATATTTTGTAATATATCTCAAGTAATTTAATATGGTCATTCCAAAATTTGAAAACTAATGAAAATAAAGGAATAAGTTTCTCTATCAAAACATTTTTATTTTTCTTTTATTGAAAAAAAAATCTAAGAGTTTATCTAAATTCTTTGTCGATTCTTTTCTTTTCAAGTTTTGAGCAGCTTAAAAAAAAGAAATTTGATCTACTAACCTTATAAATATCATTAGTATTTTTTTTAATATTTGGAAAGAATTTTATATTTACATCATAATCCTAAACCTGATATATTTTTTAAATTTAAACAAACAATTTATATTTTCTAGTTTTATTTAATAATTTTTGATTGAACTATCAATGAATATACATAGGTTTAGTAGAGTTTCCATAAAGCATATCAGCCAACTCTTGTCTCATAGTAGATCCTGGTTCGACTTGAAACGCATTCTCATCTGAAATAATGGGCTCAACCATTTTGCTCTGGGCAACTCTACGATCAAAAAATGTATTAAATTAATGTTTCGTTCGATATCAATTAAGCCTAAAAAATAATTTAAGAAGTTATAGAATATCTTAATAAACGTTTAAAAAAAATAAGATTAAAAACCTGGTAAAAGACCACCTGACTCTAATTTGCAAGGTTGAATTACTCATCATGATTGCTTGTAGGGATTGGAGACTGGGAGGACTTATCGTCCAAATGTCGGTCGAATTTCCCATTAAATTTATTTCTATTACATTGCCTGCTTCATAATTCGATAAAAACACTTGAACGGCCTAAGTTAATGTATGTAATATCGAATAAATGTTCGGGCTGGGTTTAAAAATAAATAAAACCGACTTTACATTATATTCACAAAAATTACCTTATCTTTAATGTGCTGATTCATAAGCGATCGGTATTCAACTTCCGTAAAGGGTTTTATATACTGATTGCGTGCGCTCATCTTAAACAAAGGCTATAAATATGAGAATAAAATAACAGTTTATAAATAAATCATATTAACAGTCATTATAAACTATCGCTTAACGCATAAATAAGCGGTCATCGCTAAGGAGGGGCAACCGCGTGATCAGTTTCAGAATAAATTTAATGTGTTTAAAATATTTTCTACTATAACAAAACGCTTTTTTAAACGAGCGTAAAAACAAATGATAAATTTATAAGCACGCCTAAATTATAAGAGCTAAAACGGCGATAGCTAGGGAGGGGCAAACGCGTGAACAAACACTAAATTTAAAAATCCTAAAATTATTTAATTGAACAAAACGCTTCTTTAAGCGAGCATTAAATTGAACATATTATAAACTTAAAAGACGCCTAAATTATAAGTACTATTTAAGCCACACTGCTGCTTGGCAACAAACTAAATTAAAATTACCGCATATCCACCTATACTAATTTGTAGGGAGCAGTCGTAAGGTAAATTTTTCGTACCGACGGCGTTTGTGAGAGCGAATAGTACCAAAGGAAACCATATTATGAAAATGAGTATGAAAAGCATCCCTCCCCCCATCAAATATTTTATAAGAGGTTGTCTTTTAACTCCGCGAGGAGTAGGATAATCCTTAAAAAATATTTTTCATCAAGATTTAGGCAATGTTTTATAGTTATAATATACATTATTTAGATTCATATCGATTATAATTTAAAAATTAACATTATTCAATAAAATTTTCCCTCATGCAACAGGAATCACTATTAAAGAATACAATATATCATGCATACCAATTCAGCCCTGCGATAACATTTCAATATAAATACGGAAGCATATATATCTTCCAATTTAATCCAGTAAAACAATGTCAACGTGGTGTCAGTCCACATCCAATCCATGATTGTTCTCAATTCCCAGAGAAAAGGGATTGCCGAAAATCTAAAATGATTATATACAATATGAACAAATTTACAAACACCATATTCTTTCTTATGATTTAAGCTCTATTATCACTAGGGTGGCGAGCCGAAATTTCTTATCCTGACAAATTACTTTTTATTTAATTATTATCATGAGCACTAAAATTAATTTAAAACAACTTTTGCTAAATAAAATTTATTATATATATATAACTATATTAGAAATTTACCAATTTTATTAAATTATGAATAAAAAAATTTTCTTTAAATTTTGAAAGGCACAATGAGGTTTTTTAAAATAAAAGTAATCCCAACAACTAAAAAAAACACGCTCAACGAGTATAAGCTTGGATCATATATTTTCTGGCTAGAACTAAAAGTCTAAGAAGTTCTAATTTTCTTTTCAATAGAAAAATTATTTACAGCCTAAAGAAAATAAAAAGTAACATCCCAGAATATCATGTTTAGCCGTTAGATTTTTGAATACAATTTGCTTCAGAATAACTATATCTTTCTCGCATTCTACTATTTGTTCCATATCTTTATGCAATAATTCATTCGCATAAATGACTTAAAAATTGAAATGAAAACATTTTTCTTCAAGATATTTAACTTTTAAAACCTAGGGTCTAACAAAGTAGCGAATACCTTATAAAAATATGTAAATAATAATACTAATACCTAAAGAGCAGTTGTTGAATGATCTAATTTGTTTCCCGTATTTTGTATAAGAAAGATAGAATGATAATAATTGGACCTTTGTTGGTTACATTCAGACTTTTTGCATTTTTAACATGTGGTCATATTTAGTCTTAAAAGAATCAATATCACATTGATCAAATTGAAACGTAAAAATTTTCATCCTCCAGATTTATTATATCGAAAGTGGTGTCTATTTATTCTGCACACTTATATTTTCAGAATCAATTACTTTTCCTAAATTGGAGTTTTAGAGCAGGAATAATTTCCCTAATTCTTAGCAATCTTTCTATTTTACTTACTTTCTTTGTATCGCTCACTATGACAAGATTATGTAATATATGCTCCAAACATAGGTGGTATTTATATTTATTTAACCAGACATTACTCCTGCATCTGTGACCATTGAATTGATTGGGGTTTTTAAGATTTATAAAGAAAAAAATCTAAATACATATGATTTTAAATCATTTGTGAAGGTCAATTTTAAATATACACAATTTTCACCATAGAATATTTGTATTTTTAATTTATATGGAAAATCCATATAAATTAAGAGTAGTTTTAAAGTATATGGAAATGGAAGAATTGTTTGAAAGCTGGAATACATTTCCTAAATTTATTTTTAATAAAAAAATCGCCCTTAGTAAATGATTCAAAACGATAAATTTAAGAATCCCTTTTAACTTGTTGTTTGTTGATATTTTCAAATTTATGGAAATATTTTATAAACCAATTATTTTATTGAATAATAGTATTTCCATAAATTTTGATCTTAATATTTTTAATTATATTAATTTAATTTATAATTTTATGACATATAACATATAAGTAATTTATAAAAATGTAATAGTAAAAGCAAATATATAATTTTCTTATGCCGCAGAGCCGATAACTTCTAAATGGGCGTCATAGTATTGCCACAAAAGTTCGACAGCGACGGGGTTGCGATGCATAGGTCAATTTATTGCACATTAATATAACTATTATAGCATGCAACATTTAAATTATATTAAAAATGTACAAAAAAAACATAGTCAAATATGAATGAGATGTGATAAAAATGCATTAAGAAACCAAAAGTTCATACAAACGATATAAATTGATTTCGATATTAATGCAACATTTGAGACCGTGTGTTTTAAAATACGGATTTGCGTATCGATTATAAAAAGAAAATACTGTTTCAATTCGGCGCCAGCACTTAAGTACAAAGATACTAGCATAAATATCTTCCATGATGAGCCAAGAGTTAATGGACATTGTGGTGTCTGTCCACATCCAATCCATAATAGCTCTTAATTCCCACAAAAAGGGAACAAGAGTGAAACTTTATTCAAAAAATTTTTTTTAAGTAGCAATTGTTATAAAAAAATTTGCATTTAGGATTAAAAAATTTAAATATGTAAACACTTATTTAAATTTTAGATACTATCTCAAAATTCTATTAAAATAATTTATCCTTAATATATATTTTATAAATATTACATTCTAAATAAAAATTTGAATTGGTAAAAATAAATTTAATTTATATATTTATTTTTAAGGTAAAAAATAATAATAACATACCCTTTGAACAAAAAAAGATTTGGATAATTGTATTTTTTAGTTAAAAAGTTCCCTAGTATCCTGGTAGGATAACCGCTTCTTATTTGAAATGAAGACAGAAGGAAGTAGCAGCACTTAGAAAAATACCATAGTCTCGCGGGCGTATTCTATTATAATTAAAAAAATAATATTTATTCAGTTTTATATTATTTTCGTTAAGTCATTAAGGGTTCTATTATCTAACTCCACTTCTAATCTAAATTGAATTAGGACACAAACCCTCTGCTTTGGAACCCCCCCCCCTCTTCGTATCTTTAGATTCATAAAATGCAATTTTTTTTAAGGTCGCGGGGGTGAAATAAAATCGTAATCAGCATGATAATATTAAATGGTAGCAGATCTGAAATCTATTTTATTTATGCAAAGCTTTTCTAAGAACGCCTGAATCATTTTTCATTTCTAAATGTTAGGAGCAAGCAACAATGTAAATAAGGTTTATAATATTTTTTTTAAATATTATAAGCGATAATAATAATATAACCTTGTAAAATTCGCGCTCCGTAAGGCTGGGAATGATGAAAAACATCCATATGTGGATGAGTATCACGAGTATAAATTGAAAAATAAGTTTTCCGACAATGCACTTTCGCAAAAAGAGAGCCCTATCGACGATAATAAGAGCGAACTGGGCCACCAACATAATAAGAAAAGGGATGGGTATTTTGTTTTCAGTAATGTAACTTGCCACGTCACCCTCTTCAGGAACACCAGAACCAAAAGCGGAATATCTAATTTAAAGATTAATTAATTTGGTTTCTTTTTAAATATTTAATTTAAGATACGATTTACAAGTTTATAAGGTTAAAAAACTTATATGAAAAATTTAGAATAATATTAAGGAACCGTTCTAGCTGACATTTAATTACGTTCCAAAGTAATAATGTAAAAAAACTGATTTTTTTAAGGTTCAGCAAAGTATGCATTTCTTAATATCAGCTGAATGAAATATGATCAAAATTTCGTAGCTCCTCTTATGTTTGAAAGAGTAAAAAGCGGCGAAAATTTTTTTAGGTAAGACGGTCACTAATTTAAAAATTTTTTTTATCATTTATATATATTTTAGTAAAATATTATCATATAAATTGTGATTTTATAAATAATTGATTGAAAAGATTAACAAAATATGATGTTACCAATAAAACATATAATCATAAATAAATATTTAAATCGATAAAATTTCCATAGTAGTTATTATTACCTTCTACAAGACCTATTTAAAAACAATTGAATATTAATGAATACGAATAGTAAATTTTTCGTTTTGTAAAAAGAATAATTCGTTTATTAGAATCGAATTATTCGAATTTCTTTCTTTCTGATTGTGAGGGGCTTCTTTGTTGAAATAAATTTACTTTAAAAAAATGGCATGTATTATAAAAAAATCAATTACACATTTTAATTTCATCAATAATTTGATGATATGTTCTTTTGTTATTTTAAAATTAGATGCGCAATAAATAAAAATTCTACCAAAATATTTTAATATTCATTATTTTATAATATTTTTTTTTAAAAAAAAATTATTCGATTACAGTAATCAAAAGAATTTTGATATATTGTTACTGAAAAAAATTACCCAAACAAGACGATTATAAAGGTTATGAAGTCGCAAAGGAACATTGGGGCGTAAACATCAGCAGTGACTCTGAATTTCGGATGTAGTAATTTATCAAAAAAGTTCCAAAAAGTTTTGAAATAATGAGAAAATTCGCACGTCATTAAAAGTAATTGCTTTTTACTGCCTGGTTTGGATTTATTCAAGTCTGAAAGGGAGCTAGGTGAACTCAAAGCTAGATCAGTCTAAAATGAAATATAGTATTAATTAATAAGGTAGTAAGTATAAAAAAATCTTTATAGGTGTATAGCTATATAACTTAATATGGTGGTCAGATCTTAGATTATTACACCACTCCTTGCCAACCAAACACCTCCTTTTATCTGTCATATTAACCTTTCAGAAATTTACGGATATTAATTTTTTAACTCCGGTTAAAATTTAAAAAAAATAGATTTAAATAATATTAATCAGTTGAAAATTATTTTATTTACTTCATATGTTCAATATTGAAGCAATTTATTTATAGCCGAAATAAATAATAAAATTTACCTGGCTAAATTTCTTTTTTTAATTTTCATCATTTGTCTGGGAAATAAGTTATTTTAAATTATTTTGTATATAGTTTCAAAGGGAAATGAAAATATGATTTAGTAAATGATCCATTATATAATTTTCCAACTGATTAATCGATATACTATTAAAATTTATATAAAAAAAAATTTGCGGCCTCCTGGATTTGTATTTTTAAAAAAAATATTTTTAGGCCCGGATATTATTCTAAAATCTATTTGTCTTTTCATATTACCGCTCTGGTGTAAAGAAATATTCATCATTTTTATGGAAAAGAGCATTTTCAAATTATAAGTCGAGTAACTAAAAAATATATTTCAACCATGATTTATCGATACTTCCTCTTCTTACTAATATGCCACTTAAAATCAGCAGCCATTATGATTATCTCATTTGATTTAGACATTCATAACCCTTCTAATTATTGCCTAAATTTTTCTTTATCACTTTGTAAAGATCTTCATTATCCTATAATTTACCCTTAAAACTATTAATCACAAATTTTCTAAATTCCTCATCTGGTAAGATACCAACACTATTTCTATGATTTTCAGTCTGCTATTATAATACAATTTATACCCATTCCCTATCAACCTTAACTTTGGGTCTTTCCATTTTATTTCTTGTTCACAATTTAAGATCAACATTCCGAGTCAGCGCTGACATATTTAATGCCTAATTCGACCGAATAGCATGAACTATGTTTGGGAGACTCTATCTAATTTTTGTTTTGTAACTTATTTAGTGATCGATTTTTAAAGTAGGATGCCCTTCCTGACACCAACTTACCATTTACAGGCGGTGGAGAAAAAGGTTATTTAAATCCAGAATGCAGGAAAATTGTTTCCATTGTCACCATGCAAGGCGGGAATTTAGGGGAGCTTACAATATAATTATGGGCAGGTGCAAACGGGACCCAAATTAGACTATTATAGGGGCAGCCAAATTTTTGTTCTTGTTTTTTATTTAAATTTAATTTTTTTTTGCTAATTTGATTTCCTTCCTTTTTGTTGATTTTGATTGGATTTCTTTTTTTGTAATAATTTTAATTTTCTTAAGTAAATTTGGGTTTTTAGGGTTTCCATTTTCACCCCGGGCCGCTAAAAGTCTAAGCACGGCCCTTTATAAATACAAAAATATATTACTTTTTCAGGGGAGCTAATAGGTTCACTTTCTAAGGAATTAATTTGCGGAATTTTTTGATCGTCGAATTTTTCAGATTTTGGCGATAAATCTTATTTACAAAGTTATATTATAAATATAATGAAATATTTTTGTTTATAACTAAATATCCTGAAAACAATTAACAATAATTGTTAAATTACAAAAGCTCTAATTTAAATGATGAAACTAAGTCCTAAAATTAAATGTTAACAATATTTACTTTTTGAGTTGGAGATTAAATGTAGGACTTGGACAAAAAAAATTTATTTTGAATGCCCAGAAAAAGACAAAAATATTTAAAAAAACAATATATATTCAAAAACAAATTATTTTTATATTTCAAAAACAAAATTTTTTTTGAAATGCTAAAGGTGGTTGCTTTTGTATTATAAATAAATTTTGCTTTATACTAAAAGGTTCGGGTTCCCTAAATAATATTGAAAAGGATATTACATATCCAATAATTTATTAAGTTAAAACCTTTAATATTTGTAAAAACTTCCTTGTTAGTGGGAGTAATATTCGATTTTTCTTGCGATTTTACCAGACCATTACTACCCGGCGTGTCAACGTCATTTGTAAGACTATTACTAACGCTCTTTACATTGTCTTTCCATAATCCTAATGACTAATGTTAATCGAGAGTGATAAATTTGACGGAATAAAACAATAATATGATCCAAAATCATAGAAATCAGCGCCGCAGAATTACATTTAATTATTAAGAAATTAAAAATTTGAGGTGTTTAAATATAACTATGAAATTTTATTAAATCATTATACAGTATTTAAATATAAACCTTCAAAATGGAACGATGAAAAAATAGTATAAGTAAGAGCACTAGATCGTATACAGCGTAATATTCTTTCTTCTCAATTCCAAGGATACGAGGAGGCCAAAATGGATCTTTTACTATTTCCTTACCGACCCAAGGGAAGAATCCGAATTGAAACAGGTATTTTATTATCACGACGGCCTTGTTAGTGCATATTTTTTTTCCAGTTTTATTTATAAATATTTTCTTTAAGAAAAATCAAATATTAACCCTCTATCTAAACTTTTGGATTATAATTTTTAATAGATAAATACACAAAAGAAATATTCAAATTTTGATTAAAATTTTTTAGTCGAATTTAAAAATTGCAAAATATAGATATAACTGTAGCCGATATGTATAATTAATGAGTCAGCCCGCCCCGGAAACGTGTCTTAAAATCAATTTTTTGAAAAATAGGCCTGGTAAAATGATAAATTCCATAAATTCCGACTGAGAAATGATCTTTTTACCAGACACATTCCTATAAATAGGTACCTCTGCAAATCTCTATACATATTTATTATATATAAAAGAACACAAATATATCATACCTCAACGTAAGTTATAAGTGAAACCCAAAAGGTCTTAGAAGGCCTGGGAATAGACAGGGTTCCCCAAAGGAAAACCATGAGTGGCGGAGGCATAGCCAAGATTGACGCCGTTTGAAGCATATTCAGCACAACCAAAAAATAACACACGAGTTCCGACCGAGATATTAAAACGTAATAGAGCGCTGTTATGAATTTTATTATTAAAGATCTGTCGGGTTGTAGGGCTTCTAGGTCGTGGAGAGTGAATGTTTCGTAACTACCCATCGTTACCATTTTTTAAAAAAATTTCATTGAATACATAACAAAAAATTATATTTTTCTTTCTTTCTTAATCTCAGCAACTTTTTATCTTAAACATAAAATTCGAAATCAATTTTTAAAATATAATTATTAATTATCCAAGTGCATGATATTAATCTATCCTGGTTTACGTCCTCCAAACTCTTTTTGAATTAAGTATATTTTATAATTCATTTTAATCTTTGAATTTTTTTAAAAATTTAATAAGTAAGAACTAACGTTTTATACGGGGTTGCCCAGCCGTTTTCATCAATCATGTTGAGTTTTGAATTTTCTAGATTATTACTAAAACAAAATTAGTATGTTACAAAATATAGCAAAACGATTTTAAAAAAGCATGAACATATAAAAAAATTTAAAAATTAAAGAATAAATATCTTATTTTTGTGTAAAGAACGATGGTGATACTAAATTATTAACTATACTTCACTTCCATAGTTTTAGGCAAATTTGGGCGATCCATAGGAATCGCAACAGCTTGAACATCGGGAATATAAACTTTTTTCATCTAAATACATGCATAAGAAAATTATCTAGTAGGACTTAACGTATCCATTTTATTTATAATCATACTGGATTATTTAAATTTAGTTTAATTAGGGGGAATAGAATTTATAATAAAATTTAATTTATACCTTTTCTTCTTGTTTCCTCTGCCCCTTTTCTTGAGCTAAAATCTGAGCAATGTATCTGTAATCTCGGGATATTTTGTTCAATTGTTGCGTCGCACTTTCAAGTATGCCATAAAAGAATAAGAGCAAGAAATGAAGGAAGTATTTGATCTTCAAAAATATGATGTCTTGACAAAATAATATCGATAATAAAGAAAAAACAAAATACAGGGGAGTTTATGAAAGATTTGACATAAAGACACCGAACAGAAAATATCCTAATTTAAGTAAAATATTTAAAATGCTTAAGGAATTTCAAATCTTCGGGCAGCGTTAATCTAATTTTAAAATAAATTAATTGGGAATTTTTGTCAGATGTCTTTTTATTTTTTTGTTCGTAAACCATTGCGAAATGTGTTAACAAATTTGACAGCCGGAAGTGCGAACCAAAAAAAATCATTCAGCTTAAAACCATAAACAATTTCTTTCTTTCTTTTCGATCTAAGAAAAATCGGCTTATCCACTAAGTATGACCCCCTACTTCCTTTACAAAATTTGGATTCATTTTGAAGATGCCAATCAAAAAGGCGGTTTAATTGAGCTGAAAAATCGAAAACAACTTTTGACTAAGCTGCTATGGAATTGATATTTGAATGAGGTATTTTAATCTTTACTACATATAATCAAGAAAGGTTTAAAACTTCAATTAATTATTTTTTTTTAATTAAAAAAAACGTTTTCAAAAGCAATGATATAATTTTAAAAAGTATAAATCCCCGAATCATTTTATTTAAATATCGAATTTCATCAAAATAAAAAAATTAGCGCAAAATAATATAATTTAAAAGATTTTGGATTATAATTATATTATAATCATCATACATGATAATAAACTTTTAACTCCTATTATGAAAAGGGTATTCTAAAAAAATATATAAATCGTATTATATTACATAGCATATTCTTGGATGCATCGTCGTCATTATCATCTTCGCATTCGTCATTCCTGTCTGGGTCTATTTCTTTATCTTTCGAGGAAGGCTCTTCCGATTTGGAGACTTGATCTAAAATTAAAGATCCCGGTATTGGTTCACCACTAGTAGACTTCATTCTTCCGGATGTCGTAGGGGCTAACTGGATAATCGCAGAAGGTTGACTCCGAGGTTCCTACGATGAGAAATTTTATTATATTTTATGTACGCTTTCTTAAAATGGACATAACTGATAAGGATGCAAGAGGCAGTTCAAGACCAAAAAATAAATAATTTGTTCGTAAGGAGCTGTCCAAAACTAAAAAATTAATTTGTTATCAATAATATAAAGCCAAACCTTGAAGGTGACCTACAACCTATTTACCCTTACCCAGTGTCTTCCTGCCTATATTCTAATAAAAATGTTTAACACTGGAGGTTAAAGTTTTTTTTAGTGAAATAAAAAATGAACTCAACCTAAATGATTTTTTTTCCAAACAGTATTTTATTTTTTCCAATTTAAAAAAAAACATTTGTAATAAATAAATCGAAAGTATATATATTAAAAAATATAATACAAAAATCATCAAATGGGATTGTATCCTTATTTAGAAATATTATTAGACCTGCAGAACTAATGTAGGTTATTAAATTGCCTAATTCTCCTGATCGGTCGGAAAATATTAATATATAAAAAATAATTAAAATTTGGTTCTAAAATAAAAGATGTAAATGCATCTGTTAAGAAGCTTTTTCGACAAGTCCTGATTGCACACTAGACTATTAAATAAATAATGAATACCTGTTGAGATAGTAAAGATAAGCGATCCGTTTTAGTAGTTCTCCTGCATTTAGAATCTGATGACGAATCTTCGTATATGCTACCCTCGTGAGTAAGCTTTCCTTCCTGAACAGCACCTTTAATACCGCCTTTTGTCAGTGCCACGTTAAGCAACTTTTTTTTCGTATAAAAAATATTATCTCTATTGTTAAATTTTTGCTAAAATTACAATATTTAAATTAATTAGTAAGTTGGAATTATAAAGTGTATAGGAAAGTTATATTTCGGATCCTATTTCTCATGACTTTTATAAGTTCTTTATTGTTTCCTTCAAAATTTATAAAATTCAGTTCTCGCAAAGATTTTAAGAACATCGGTGAGTTATTAACCGATTCATTAAATCTGAACAGCTAATTCCATTTTCTATCCGGGGTTAGCTAAAATCATATTTTATTTACAAAAATAAAAAAATATCATATTTATTTGAATAAATCCCGATTTTTTATTATTTAAATTAAAATTTATAATAAATTAATTTTTTTAAAATTTGCCCTTGAACTTTGTGTCAGTTAGTAATCGGAAATTCATTTATTTTATATTACATTAAACATATGATCCCCTGTGAAATTTAAACCATTGTTTCATTAGTAATAATGAATTGATTAAAAGTATTTCAAACTTGCATAGGTCCGATACCCGTCGCTTCTTCATCCCCTTCAAGGGGTCTAGGTTCTGGGTATTCTAAGTCAGCTAATGCATCATCCGCATGTTCGTCGTCGGAAATGTCTTCGAACATGTAGTAATCACCGGATCGGATAGCTTATAAATTGTACGAATAAAAACTACTTTACTATCATTAAAATTAATATACAGTACAATTTAAAATTTAGTAAGCAAAATTTGATATGATAATGTTGATATTAAACCAATAAACATGCTAATAATCATTATAAAATATGCTTCAGACGTTAGTTTATATATAAAACTATCAGTGGCGCAGTGCTGGTGAGTGGCAAAAGAATGTCCAAGGCGGGTGTCAAAAATATTATGTATCGCATAACATATTTGAGCACGCCTAAATTAGAAAATAATATAAGCATGCAAATGATAAGAAATAACGACTCCACTGTAGTTTATATATAATACTTCTATAATTTACAATTATATGAGATTTTGAAAAAAATTCCCATAAAAAATATGGGTAGGATTAGACTAAAATATAAAGATATAAGAATATCGACTTTTTGAATAGTATTTATATCTGTATTCAATTTCGAATAAAATTTTCGAAAAATTTGCCAAACCTTCCACCACATATTAATTATGTTATATTCGATTACGAGAATTTTATATGAAAAATATTTGTCAGAATATTGATATTCAACTAATGCTAACATGAATATTTAAACATTAATAGTAAAAGTGTAATATAATATTAATAATTTTTTTAATTTTAAAATCTTTATAGTATAAACATACAATTTTGAATTAAAACTATATAAAACATTTAAAAACATATAAAAATAACAAATATAATTAAAATAGTGAACGAATATAAAAATTACAGAAGCTTAGCATTATTACAAGCAATTTGTATAAAGGCAATATATGTGTAATATTTTGGAATTGTTTGAAAATATATTTCCGAAAAATTAGAATTTTTAAATTTTAAAAACGTGCTAAATAAATGATTTAAAGTTGTAAAAAATTTGCTGAGCGCGATTTAAATTTAAAGATCTAATTATGCCAAGGAGTTATATAAAAATTTCAGACAATTTGAACATAACTTTTGAAATATTTTTACTTTATATACTAAAATTATACGAATGAAATAGCAATAGACGTATTATCTGTTTGCGAATATTGCCCTTAACATGTATATATTATAATTAGGCTTATTCAAAAATGAATTCGAATCGAATAGTGAATTATTCATATTCGATTCGTTGTATTCGTACGAATAATAAAGTCTACTAAATGTATTCGATTCGAATTATTCGAATAATTGAAATTAATTTTCTTAAATCATACTCAAATATATTGACAAATATTTGATTGCAAACAGAAAAAATTATTTTAATTCTGATAATAAAGAATATGAAATCAATAATCTGATGATAAAAAATATGTAATCAAGTTATAAACAAAATTAAAATGTATATTATTAATTTAATTCATTATTCTATGATAATTTTTTAAGGCAAAGAGTTTTTCTTATATTTTCTTCCTGACTTGCGATTTTTTGCCAACAAATCAGTTCCAACTAAGAAAAATCTTTCACAAGCAGTTAATGTTCCTTGTATAGATAGGCAATCCCTAGGTGTGAATGAAACCTATAATAATTATTAATAAGAGGGTATGTTGTTTTGCCTTTACATTTTATAATGCTCTTGAAATGATTGCAAGCAGCTTTTTCACCGTCTTTATTGATTTGATATTGATCCCATATAATTTATGAGGAAATTTTGTCAACTTCAAGATTAAGCATAACTATTTCATCAGAAGCATTCTCCTCTAACATAATTAGGCTACTAACATTATTGTATTATATTTTTATATACCTTTGGTTTGTGTAATTTTTTAATATAATTTATTATGAGATTCAAAAAATAAACTACTCGTGAGATTCGAAAAATACGGCAAGTAAAAATTTAAATATTGCTTTCTTTCACTTCAGAGATGTTTTAATTTGTGCTAGTCTTTTTATAAACACATTACCTATCATGGAAGGTCATCAAATAGAAATGACAAATGTTAGATTTATTAAAAGCAATATTAAATATTCCGAATAATTCGTTTTAATCGAATCGAATAAATAATTATTCGTATTCGTAATTTAGATTCGAATAATTCGAACCGAATATTCAATTTTTTTATGAATAGGCCTAATTATAACATACAATTGCTTAAAATATACTTTATCTACAAGCGATTAGGTTAAACAGAACCAATATCAAAGAAACGAAATATATATTATCAATTTAATACATATTTTTTTTGATAGATTATGTATTATTACTATATTTATATACGCGATAGTTTGACCAAAAAGAAACCGCAAATTGCCAAAAGAATTATAAAGTGAGCTATGTCGTAAGTTTTTTTGGCATAACGACTTATTAGAATCCTCAAATGAGAATTTAGAGTCAATTTTAAAAAATGTAATTCTACCGCAACATGTGTAGAGTAACTAAATTTCAGAAAATTTTAATGTAAACTTGAACTACTCTTAATTTATATATATCTCTGATTTTTCATTTCATATATATACAAAAAATACACAAAAATTTATGGCAAATTTCCCAAAAATTTATAGGATAGTTACTCTATACATGTTAAAATACATTTCCGGTAAGATAGGATTTTTTATAAATTGAAAATTGTCCTCTAAAATAATTTAAATTTTAAAGATTCCAAAAACGTGAGGATTCCGGATAAATTGTTATTCTAGAAAAAAGTGCGACATATACATAAATTCCAAAATTTTCATTTATCAAAAAAATTGCCAAGTATTATAAAGTAATGTCAAAATTACGAGTAAAAATATAAAATATCGATTCGTAATATTGGCAATTCTACTTAAAAGAAAAATGGAATATCTTTAAATAAGTTACAAACTTTATTTTTAAGAAGTTAGTTATAATAATCATTTAGATTTGTAATACAACATTCCTTCGGGGACATAAGGATTTATGATCAACAGGCAATGTATACATATAGTTCATAGTTTTCTATCTCATTTATCGTCACACATTCGATGAAGATCAAATTTGCATTCCACAATTCTAAAAATTATACATTCGTGTTTGGCGAGTAATTTTTTTGATTTAGGTCCATCTTTTCCCCACTTTCTTTTAACGCTTTTAGGTGGACTCAATGTTACCAGTTTCTTGCATTTTGGCCGACAAGGACCAATCAGAAGTGAATCACTGCTGTTTAAATTGACAGGCCTATCATCTTTTGTTTTTACGAATGAGCTGGACCCCAAAATGCCCAAATCAATACTTTTACTGGTCGAGGTCGTTCGATATGAACTCAAGTATCTCAAAGTGGTCTCGGTTTGCTGACATAACTTTTGATAAAATTTCATGTTGTGAATCACAATTTCTTTTTGCCCCTTGGTGGATGCTGAATCGCAAAATGTTTCGTTCCGGTGATTTTTAATATTTTTTTTTTCCCATAAGTTACTTTTAGTTTTATAAGATCGTTATAATTGTTCTATATTATAATTATAATTATAAAAATCTTTGTTATCAATTTATGCGTCCTTTTTATTTTTTTAAATTTGGATATTTTATATCGAAAACAGTAAAAATTATATTTTTTGTTTATTTAATTATACGCTTTTCCTAAAAGAAAATATAGCATTAAAATTGTAAAAAAATATTTAAAAAAGTGAGCCAAAAATAAAATTAGACAGTACAACATCATTATCGAAAATCGAACCTGCTTCGTGATAGGATTGTCTAAATGGTAGCCCTTCGACATAAAATATTATAACATTATATTTATGCTATTCAAATTAATGGTTTGATAAAAAATGAATTTTCTTTATGCAAAATCTTAACCTAATTTTTTATCGAAATTTAATCGATTAAATAGATGATTTAAAAAAAAGTAGAAAATATCAACCAAACTGTAATATCGTCGACTAAGTATTAAAGTATTCTATATCCACTTTTATAGTGAAATATTCCCCTATTCATTAATTCAATTCGTTAGCTTTAAATGTTAGTTGTCTTCCCATATAGAAAATACAACAGATATTTTTTAATGGTCATCTAATTTTTTTTTATAAAACAAAATTGTATTAAGCCGACGATATATACAGTATTTATCAGTTCACTCGTATTTAAATTTGTTTAGTATATTACCTTGAAAATGCGTGCTAGGTTCTTGAGTGATCCTTCTTGCTAATTTTTTATTTTGATGTTTAATTTGTTCCATTTTTTTCTTAATTTTTTCCATTACTAGCCTTTCCTTGTCATCTTGTTCGCTGACTTCCTTCCATTTAATTTGATTAACTAGTTCAGCACCTCTATTTAGGTTCAAAAAAAATTTACACGATTATTCTTTCTACAATATATAAATGAAATAAATATTGATATTTGTAATTATTCTTCAATTACAAACATAAATAGTATTCAAACAAATAGGGTATATTTTTTAAAAAAGGTGTTTATACCTAGAAGCTAACAATTGCTGGGCATATATTTCGGAAATTATGTGCTTAAAATAAAAACTGCCAAAAATCCTTTTCTGTAGGATAAGAAAAACGAAGCAAATTCCATCCCACAGAATTCCCGCTTGCTCTACTGGCACCGAACACTCAGCCGAGAGATTGAGCTCTAAATTTCAAAATAAATTTTATTATCCCTTTTCTTGAAATATAAAATTAAGATTTAATTGTTTTTTTAAATTAATTGAATAATTTATTTATTAATAACCTCGACTAGCCCCAAAACCGGCCTTCAAACAAGCTATACTTAGCAATTGCACTAACCAGCATAAATTGGCTTCTAAAGCAGACATGTAAACACAACCCAAAACCTAAAAATATTTTTTTTAAAATTAATTAATTATATAAAAATAGAGGTTTAATTTATTTTTTTTTTAAAAAAAGGCTGAATTAAATGTTATACGAAAACAAAAATTTTTTATTTTAATATTAAAAAAAATTTATAATAAATGCAAACTTGTAATATTGCTTTAATAAAGATAACGGCAAAGTTGTAAGCTATCAACACAGTCCAACTGTATAAAATTATAAACAAAATTTTAGGATAACAATTAATAATACCTAAACCTAACCTTTAATAGTCTAGTCTAATTAAAATTCCGATTTTATAAAAAGGTTAATTTTATAATGATCTGAAATTTTGATTAGCTTTTTTAGCTTATCATCTACAATTTTATACAAAATTATAATAATTCATTTGAAATAATATTCCGTATATTCCGTTTGAAGGTGATAGATTTTGTAGCTTGGCCCTTAAAAAATTGGCAGGGAGAAGGTGGGGGATATCAATTTTAATTTTTTAAAAAATATCTACGAAATTGCAGATTTACTATAGATCCCCCCCCCCGCCTCCTCGTTACGATAATGAACTTTGTTATTAATAAATAAAGACATTATAATATTTTGATTGAACATACTTACAATTTGTAAATGGTTTTCAGTGGCTTCAAGAATAACTCGTTCCCATACCACAAAAAGAAGAAAGATGCGATAAGGTAGCCCATGCAAAAAAGGCTGACCCGATTGGTGGCAGTTATTAGCATGATTGTTAGGGTAACCCAGTAGGAATACGAAAAAAAAGCGAATTTTAATTTGTCCAATAGAGTTCTTTATTTTGTTGGATTTCAAAAAAATAAAATATAAAATAAAAATGCTAAAGAAAAGAGACTAACTCTTTTAAATAGATTTTCAAATCACTCCAATCGTATTGCATTAAACAAGATCGCTACATCGGACATATTTTTTCATGTCCGACCAGATCCAAAAAATATAAAAATAATATGCGGTCAATCCGTTTTTTTATTTTCGAGATATGAACCCGATCTGAACTTTTATTTTACAAGCAGATCCGAATTTGGCCCGATGTGGAAAAAAAATTAAAGAAAAATATTGCACTAAGGAATAAATACGATTTTCAATGAAAGCGGAAAATAGCATTAGTAAAACAAAATTTTTAGATTTTTTCGAAAACAAGTTAATTATATATTCATGTCTAATATAAATATTATCATTCTTTTCCCGTCTTTATTTCTTTTTAGGAAAGTTGATTAAATATGCTAAAATCTCTTGTGTTAATTACTGGATTTAATTTCTTATTTGGTTGGAATACTTTAAATAGCGTTGGCAATAATCGTTTAGTTAAGAGATTTTTTTCCAATGTAAAAAACAAAATGCTAATATAGAATAATAGAAATAATAATAAATAGAAGTGAAAAAAATGTAAATATACGTTGTATGGGTAACGAAATCCGGTATAGGGTTTTGAATGCTGTAAAGGCTATCAAGTTTCCAAATCTCTTTATTGCTCCCTCCTTCAAATTCTGCGGGGGCTGTGTAATGCGCGCCATAATCAAAAGTCTTGCTTCGAGCTTTTTTAATTCTTGCTCCCAATGATCCCAATATACTTGCTTGACTTTTACTACCCGAACATTTGGCCTGAGACAAGGATATATCGGGTGGATTGAAAGGTTGTGGCGCTGATGGGTCGTGGAATTCTATCCTGAACACGCAGAGTTGACAAGTCGCGAAAAGGAGTTGGAAAAAATCGGCTTTGAATTATAAAGTAACGAATGTAATCGATCAATCAATAAATATAGATACTTAACCTTATTTGGTTAAAAGGTAAAATTCTAATCCAATCTATGGGCCATTCTGAACCCGTAATAAAATATAATTATAATAATTTTAACAAAACAATGTTATTTATAAATCGCGCTACATTAAAATTGATTTAATTTAAGATTCATGTATCTAATTTTCCTTTAAATAGATTTATTTCAGATGCTATAAGTAATATAATAAAAGCATTCAACTTATTATATTAAACATCCATCTTCCATTATTTACAATCATTGATAAATAAGCTAGCTTGGACTTTAAAAGGGTACTTTTTAATTTTGACAAATATTGGCCCATATAATAATTTTAATATATTTCGAGTATATTATATAAAAATAGGGCAGCTTAACAAAATTGCCTTCATGCCCATAATTAGGATGACCAAAACCTCGATTCAGTTCCTTTAAAAAAAAAGCGAAATCAAGAATTTATAAAAAAAAAAATTACCCAAATCTCTAAATTTAGGCAAAAGAGGGCCAAGCCGTTCTGCCATCTCTATGCCAAATCTCAAGGCTTAGATAATATTCTGTGCTAAAATTTTCATTGGCCGTTTTTTTACTACCCATAATCAAACATTCTCAGAATATTTGGTACCGAGGCTCTTAAACTCATCACAATTTTTGGTAAGAAGAAAACCACATAGATACAAAATTAAATATGAAAGATGTAAAATAATTTCAAAATTTACAAAATAACATTTTTAATAATAAAAAAAATAATAATTTTACTTGATATTTTATAACTAGAAGGAGGAACTAAGAAATCCGGCAAATAAAGCCAATCCCTGAGACCTCCTTTGATTGTATTTGTCCATGGGTATTCTTCAAAATGTTAAAAATAAAGAGTAAAAATGATAAAATTACAACTTTATAAATAGCACCAAATTTCTAGTGTTGTTAAACGACTCGTTTTGAGCCGATTTTTAAAAACGGCTAACTCAATATTTTATCCAGATTAATTTTGACTAAGCCTCTAGATTGCGCTAGTAGATGTCCAAACCTTTGTTCCTTCTACAAGCAAAATCTTCAGGCTTGCGTAATATAATTCTGAATAAAATATTGAGTTAGCCGTTTTTAAAATTCGGCTCAAAACGAGTCGTTTAACAACACTACAAATTTCTATTTATAATCTTTCTAATTTTTTGAGATAAATTGAGTTCGTACTCATTTACAATTATAATGATAAAAACAAAATTATTGTCAAATAATCTTGGTTTATTTACCCATGCATAACCCAGGTGGCATCCCAATCCTAGCCATATATTGTAAAGGAATGACAACCACCAGAAACATCACATAAATGGGCCATATTAAAGAGAGAGCTTTTCGAGAAGGGAATAATAAAATCCCAAGCCAAACGCTGTAAATGACGGACCAGGCATCCCACCTGAGTCCCACAGTAGCTATAATACTGATCAGTGTTATCTGTTTTTAATAATATTTGATTTTTTTAAAAAGACAAATATTCTTGTAAAAATAAGTAAACACCAAATGAAGTAATGGAGGCACTATATAATCAATTATCTGCTCAAATTTGATAACATTTATCTTGATAAATTATGAAATAACTTGGTAAAATTAATAAGGAAAAAATATTCACTATTTCTATTCTTAGTATATAATGATAACCTCAACTCCAAATTTATAGAAGCAGAAATTAGCGAGGTATTTGATCAAGTTAACGAGTCCAAAATCGGCCCGATCCCGTGTTATGCTTGGAAAGAGGTAGGAGCGTTTAGGTTGTGTGGGCGGAGGAACTAAGTGAGCAGATACGCGGCGGGTTTCATTGTCATAATGCGCAATACTCGGGCCTGTGGGGGCCATGCTAAATTTTCGCTGGCGCAATTTGACAACCTTCTGGAAGCACAACAAGAATAGGATGCCTAAGTAACCCTAGTATTTTATAAATGATATTTAAATTTCTTTATTCTGATGACATAAATGAGGTAGTGGCTCGTTTTAAAATTAAATGCACTACCTGACGTTTTCAAAATTTGTGAGTTAGGAGTGGATTCAAATTGATTAATTTCCTAATAAATAATTCGATAAAAACTAGATTTAAAAATATTAATTTTTGGCGACGTTAGAGCACTATCAATTTTGGCTTATTTTCGTAATTTTTATGATATATAAATATATATATATTATCTATGATAATGTCATATTTTATAATTCACAAGTTGTGCAACATTTTAAAATTTTATAAAACAATTATGATAAAGTATGCATAGAAAAAATGATCAATAAAATATTGGTATAATTTTTTATTCAGCTAAATTATTGTTTCTATGACTAAATTAGAGTTAAATAAAGATTGCTATTGTTGTGTATTAATTGTTTACTATATTATTTTTGAAAAATGTTTATTTTTATTATTTTAGATTATCTTGTGAATTCGCATACACAAAAATAATGGGATTTTATGATAAAATACAATAAAAGAAATATATTATTTGGCTAAATTACTATTAATATATATGTTAACTGTAATACAAAAATATCTGTTGAAAATACTACAAATATGAACTAAATATAATTTAAAGATTTATAGTAGTTTCTTTTGCTTTTATTTAATAAATTCTCATAAATAAAATTGAATTAGAATTAACTCTCAATTTTTTACTTATTTTATATTTGAAACTAGAGGTCTGCAATAGGCAGGTTTTTAACCAAAAAGTCAGCCCACAAGTTGTTTGGAAATGTTTTTAACCCACGTGCCCCCCCCTTACTTATAGTTTTCTTTAAAAAATTTACCAGCCCACTCGTACATTTATCTATAAATCTAGTCTAACACGCCCGCCCGCCTAATGTTTAAAAAATTATTTTCATGATTGGTTATTTATTTTGATATATTTTTAATTAAACATATATAATATGCAATATTATAAAATAAAACTATTATTTTTAATAAATTGAAATCGGTTCTGCTCATTTCGCCCGAAAAATTTTAAAAATCACCTGTCCACGCCCGCAGCACATTACAAATTTTTTTTAACCTGCCCGTCACCAGCCAAATGTTTAAAATATTTTAGAAAATCCGACCAAGTTCGTCCGAAGTATGGGTGGGCGGGCAAAAAATCAATTCAATACAGTGAATCTAAACTTTATAATCGTTTTCCCCAATTTCAACAATTTTGCAAGTGCGGCACTCTAATTCTAGACCGATAATATATATTTTTTAATAGTTTTTCGGAGGTTTAATTTTATTTTTATAAAAAGTGGAGAATAAAAATAAAAATATTTATATAAAATCACCCTAATGGCTCAAATATAAAGAAGGATCTAGTGAAAATTATATTTAAAAAATTGACAAACTTTTATATAAGAAGCGATGTCCGGTACTTTCATAAATCCCAACCATTCAGCGTTATCAACTGTGGTGTTGAGAGACGATATTCCCTACATATATTTTACAGTTATGTTGAATTAATATATTAAAATGAAACATGACATATAATCAAGGTTCTGTTTTTATAACTCACCGAACAATTCGTTCGAAAATATTCAACTTTAAAATAGTCGATTTGGTAAGTCATTTTAACGATAATCAAGCATCCGATCCAAATCGATGATATGTAAGATAACAGGGTCTGGAGTGGCGGCACCGCTAAGCCGATTACTATCGCCAATACAAAGGGAACGTTTATAGCTTTGGCCTTGATTTTTAAGAAAATAATTAAGAAAATGATTAAATTTTTATTTAATAAAGTTGCAATGTTTCTTACCGCATACATTTTTATAAAATAGGAAAAACATGACATTTTTTAAAACAAATGGGATCTATTCGTGATTCCCGGAAAAAGTGATCTCAAGCCCGGCCCTAAATTTTAAAAAAATTTGTCTGGCCCGGCCCGATCATGAACAAATTATTTTTATTTGTCTTGGAAAGCCCGATCTGAAATAAAAATTATTTGTCCGCCCGGACCTAGATTATTTTTAAAAAAAAATAGACTCAGCCCGAGCTGCAGATCTCTTCCCCTTACCCTGATTATATTTTTTGATAAAAAAATTATAAAATTGATTGATATTGGTCAGACCTTTAGAACATTACTTTTAAATTAATCTCCTTGTTATAAAGTAAAATTAGAAAATTTAGCCTACATAAATGCATATTTCCAAATTAAACACATAAAATCATAAAGTGAGCGATTATATAAATCGGAAAACATTTTCACAAATTTTATATATTGACAATAAAATTTCGGCATTTATTTTATTTAAATTTTTCAGATTTTATAATGTTGTCTCATTACAAAAAGGCCACCTTCAATTTCTTATCACGTATAATTTTTGAAATATTAAAACCTATTTTTAAGGTGATAGTATTTCAATTCCTTTGAGTATATTAAAGACTTAAATATTTATTTTCCTCCAGCCCTATCATAAAATGAAATAAATTACATATTATTCATAATCTACTTTTATGCTTAAATTAGCCTTAGCCAGCATCAGGCCTTGCCATGAACAGCATAGCATACATTTAGCTAATATCTAAACATTTCCTAAGTTATATTATATATGTATATGGTTTTTTATAAAAATGCACAGCAGCATCGCATTATCGTTAGTTAATTTTTTTTAGCGAAGAATGATATGTGTGGAAGAAATTAATAATTTTAAAACTTTTCTCTTTATCTAAAAATTTTAAAAAAATGATTAAAATTTGGCTATCTTTATGATGTCTTTATGTCCGGTGTCCTTTTGTTCAGGGATTTTTGTCCGGAAATACTTTAATCCAGGACATTTTTGACCGATTACCCCCTCAGAGTTAGAGATTTATGGATTCCAGTATTGCATGCATTATTACCCTGATTCTCCTTGGACGATAAAGACTGCAAGTTTAGAGTGAATATAGCAGTTTAATAGGTAAAATCGTTGTCCCTACATTTCTTATATAACTAGAAATAGGTGGTATCAAATTATACAGTATGATTTTTACATCCTCTGGACCATTCCTTTTAATATATTCTATAAGTTAAAATGCTAATTCCATTCGTAATGGCGACAAAAATGATTTAAGGATTTTTCCTGTTGATATACTTACTCGGTGATATTTTTCTGCAGGTACTGTGTACTGTGCGTTAAATAATAGATACATCCTTATAATATATTATTACAAAGGTAACTGTATTGACATTAATAACGTTGTAATGAATAATTAAGTTAATATTCATTTCTTGAAGTTTTTTTTTCATTTGGGTTTCATTTCCCTATTTAGTCTCAGTGTCACAGACAGCTTCATCATTCATAAGTGTTCTCTAATGCCACAGCTGTGTCTAAAAATAATTTTAATTTTAAAATATATGAAAATTGTTTTAGAAATACAATTTTAAAAATTCTATTCTTCTAATAGACGATGAAACATAAAAAACATTTTATTAACATCCATTGCAATCTTGAAATTTATTTTTTAATTTAAGTTTTAAATCGCATTAAGTTTTTCATATTTATTTTTCTATGGAAAACGTGACTTATGTGGAAAAGTATACTTACTTCGTTAACGCAAAGAAACATCAAAGCCATGGCTACTAATTTGAAGACATGTAGTTCGGCCATCTTCCACGCGTATTTGGATATAACATTGCAAACGTAACTTAGTCTTCGCGAGAACCAGTAAAAATAATACACAAAATCCTTCTCAGTCGAAGTTGCATCTTTTTATTTTTGAGAAATGTATTTATTTCTAAATTTTCAAAATATGCTCCATTTATTTTGAAATATACCCCCCATCCCCCTTTAATATTAAATAAGTGTATAAAAAATTAACATTATTATGGATGGGCTAGGTTAATAATGAAGTGGTTTATAAATATACCCGTTATCGAATTCTGGCCTATTTAACTAAAAAAAATTAAAAAATTTTTTTTACATGAGATGAGGTGAAAAATAATTATATAAGAGATAAATTAAAATGATGTGTCTCAAGAATTTATACAAATAAAGCCTATCATTTTCAACATATTTGTAACAAATTAAGTCGCATGTCTTTTTATACAAATTTTGATATATTTAAATTTTACGTAACATTCTTATAAAAAATAAACATAAAAAATTACAAGTTTAATAGCAATTGAAAGGCATTTTTGTGATTTGAATTGTGATAAAAATATTATTTATTTTTTTATTCTGCGTCGTAATTGATATGATTGATCGTTTCTATGTAATGTTATAATCTCCACGAAAATTAATATTAAGATGCTAACAGACTCATTCACTACAATTAGGACATATCCTTAGATTGTGAGATACGAGGTTAAAAATTTACCAAATAATTGAATTTTTATAAAAATACTTAAGTATTTATTTGAATTGGCAGGTAAATTGGGAATCATATTCCTTTTAGTAAATTAATTTAGTTGATATAGTATACAGTATTTAAAATTGTAATTAAATAAATCTCTTATGAAAATGAATGATAACAAAAAATCCTGTTTGACCATTGACGAGGAAAGTATAATTTTTATTTCTTAAAAATAAGATATAATTTTTATTTCTTAAAAATAAGGTATTATTTTTAAATTCAAATATTAGTTACACTTTTTATTTTAAAATATCTTACATTTTAGTCAAATCTATTTTTAATTGAAGCAAAAATTAGAGTAATTTTAGCTGAAAGGGGCATTGTTTAAATAGTGTAAGTGATAGGGTTCCTAAAAATTCCCATTTGGGTCGATTTTTAAAAACGGCCCGTTGATATTTTACCCAAAAAATATAACGTAAGCCTCGAGATTTGGCAAATAGAGGTCCCAAACCTTTCTGCCATCTCTGAGCAAAATCTCCAGGCTTATATAACATTATTTCGGTTAAAATCTTAATTGGGTCATTTTAAAAATTCGACCCGAATAATAGTTTTAACACTAGTAAGTGGTAAAAAAAAAACTGACAGAGTAATGTTAGAAATGGCGACATTAATTACCGTATATAGAACTGCTAAAAAAACTGTAAAATTAGATATTATATTTGAATGGTAAGGTTGAATATGGGGCAAAAGATAATATAGATGATATGCTGATCAACAGATAACTTACGAATCTTCAATGCTTTTTATATCGATAAACAAATTAAAGCATGATTGAACTTATTTCTAAAAAGTGAGAAGATAAAGATTAAAAAAATATTTTTTTAAAAATACGAATCCTTATCTACCGTCTGTTAGGTAAATCACTAAGTAGTTTATCACATTTCTTAACCTTAAACCGAGAGACGATTATAAGGATCCTATCGAATAATAATGAAAAATGGTGATGAAGACTATTATATATTCCAAATAACTCTATTAACAAAATATGCGCTTCGTCTTAACCCTCCAATGACCAATCGAAATATAAGTATAAGTCTAGTTATTTTAAACAACATACCAATTCTACGTTCGATAGCTTTCATTCTGGCTAATTCATTTTTAGTATCTTGTGGTGGCATAGTTGAACTAGAAACAAAAAAATATATAATTTATTTTTAATTGATTACTAATTTTATATGATCAAAGTTAAATTTATATACGGTTTATCCATATCGATCAGCTCTAAAAATGGTTTGTGGAAATAATGAACTTGCAATATTATGATAACGATAAAAGCCGTAGGGGTAAATAATCTAACGAATAATGTTTTCGTATCGTATTGCTCCAAGCCAAAGTCATTCAAACTTTAACGGTTGAAAAGAAGGTAATTATATTGGCGCATTATTTATTGCATAACTACAAATTAAATTACATTTACTAATACAAGTTTTGGATCTAATTAGGCTATTATTTATGCTTAGCATGCTCATGAAGTCGGAATTTAATATGAGCTTGCGTAAGGAATTAATTTATTCTTTTAAAAGGGGATTCTAAAAAGTTATAAGAAGCTAACGACCTTCTGAGCATGCCAAAAATTATTTATATAGAGTAAAGGTTATTTACATATAAATTATAAGAGCTAGTGACTGTTTTCCAACTAAATATGCTAACAACAAGTTTTTACTTATAAGATTTATCAAAAAGGGTAGAAATATATTAATTGTGTAAAAATATTTGCTTATTTTTTACATCTCATAAGATAAATGAGTTTTATTGTGCCAATATTCGGGAAAATTTTCGAATTGGTAGGTGTAGATTAGTATGAGAATCACCATGGAATAGCAAATCAGGAAAACCCAAAAGATGTACATAGTTAACCTCCATACTTTAAAAACCATCTTAATAAATATTGTAAAATGTCTTTATCAAAAAGTATTATATAGATAAAATTTATCTTAAAATGTTTATATTTTTTTTATATAGTTTATAAAAAAAGGTGTTAAAAACTTGAAACATGATAAGGAAGACGACAAAAAACATAGTGTATCCAATACGATATAAGACAACGGGTGCAGTAGCGATACCCATAAATAGGAGGAATCCGCAGCATATCAAAATCCAATATTTGATGCAAAGCCAATACATTAAATGACCTAATTTCGATGTTATACGTGTTCCATCTTGTATGTGATATAAAAAATCTATGTATAAATGTTCTAAACTATAGTATGGGTCGGTAGACCGGTTCAAACCGCTTTAGTTCTTGCGTATAACTCATCGTTTTGCCTAGACCGTTATAAAAGAATAATATAAATGACCTCAAAAACGCATTTTTTTTAAAACCTTGAGATAGAATGTCAGAGGGCTTAAGTGCTCCTGTTATGAGTTGTTGTTGCTGGCCATCTATGGATATGACTCTGACCAGGTTTTCTTTTTTTTTCTCAATCACAAATTGTCTCATTGTTATCCAAAACAAGCAAGTAAATACCGACTAAAAAAATGAAATATTTATTTTGTTTTAAATCGTTAAATATCCTATGCAAATTAAAAAGTATGCCATAATTCAAATTTAATGAATAAAAGTTTTCCGTTGCTTAAATTTAAAAAAAAAAAGGTTATGATTTGAGTGATAATAAATATCGCTTGTTGCAACCCTTTTTTAAAATATATATTAGCCCTAATCCCGTATCTCTCTAACCCTCAGCTAACTGCTCATGCTTAAGAAAAAAGGGTTCAAAAAAAATTAGCTTTGTCGGAAATCTAACTACCAAAACATGGGATAGTTCAGATAGAACGCTGTTAAAATATTTATAAAAAATGAGTATTTATGCATATGTCATCATGCGCTAACGATATGTAAAACCTAAAAATGGCCGTTTGATTATTATAGGGAACTTAATATTTAGTCAAAATTGAGTTTGAATCAAAATCTTATCCTTAAAGACCCACTCCACAAAAAAAAATTCAAAAGTTAATTTTAATTCAATTTTATGTAATAATATTATATTACTCTCCTGTAAAAAAAATGATTATAAAATAATAAATAAATTGTTAATATTTTTTTAAAAAACCTTTAAAGCCAGCTGTAAACAAGGATACTTGTATTTGATCAAACCGAATTGAGCGAGAGGAAAATTTTTGTAGCTGTCAGCTGGCAATTCATCATCTGTTAGCTTTAACCCGTAAATGAACTGAAGAAATAAGAGTATGATGGCATAAGCTACGAAAAAGGGAGAAGAGTAGAGACAGTAACTTCTAGAATTAGGGCTCATCCAAACTACGCAAGCCCAAAGGAGAAATACGAAAGTGAGCCAAGAATGGTACGTTATGGCCCATACCTGGTGTCCGTTGCATTGTTTACATTTTAAAAAAATAATCGTTAATTAAAAATAAAAACGTTAACAATGAGTCGAGACTTACAATCGGAATTTCCAGTCAATTTCGGCTTAAGTCTACCAGTGGCCCGGTGACAATTTTTTTTTAGCTATAGACCCGACAAGTAACCCGAATTTTAAAAAAAAGCTTGGAATAAATCTTAAGCTCAACATTTATTGTATTCTCTATTTTAATCTTATGCATGATATAATATCACCAATTACTTATAAATAATTCATATAAATGAGATAAAATATGACATTATTTGAATTTTATAAACATGTACAAAATTTTTATGCATTATCATATAGAATTCTATAATATTAGCTAGTAATTCGATGTTATTATATAACGGTAAATATTCATCTACTATCAGAGCTAAATATATAAAAAAAAATGCTTATATAGTCTAATCCAATGACATAACTTACGATTCATTTATTAAGGTGTATTTTGAAGGTCGTTGAATACAAATCAGCTGGTGATATGCTACTTTGGATTTCCGTATATTTTTTTAATATTATAAATAAAACTAAATTTTTATATAAAAAAAAGTTGTGATAAAATTTTAAATGAAAATGTTTAAGCATAGGAAACCAAAATAGCGTGCTACCAGCTCATTTGTATTGATACACTACACATTTTAAATTAATGATTCGCCAGTCTAGGTAATATTATTTGTCATGGGTCTAATTGCTATAATAAATAAAATAGTATAAATCTAATCGAATGTCCATAATATAATATAATAAATTATAAATGCATATTTTGCAGTACCAGGTATATTTAAATATATTCAGTGATAACTTTTGTAATTTAATTATGTTTATCTATTTAAATTCTATTTATTACAAAATAGGATGTGAAAATGAATAGTCAAATATTTCCCGTTTTTATTAAAACTTTTATTCACTTTTTAAATTCAATTCTATAATTGTGATATTCAATCAGGCAAAAAATGAAGAATAGGAAGGATATATAACATTTATATTTTTAGATTAACGCGCTAGCCTATATTTTATTGATAATGTACTAGCCCTGTAGAACTCTGGTCGAAGTTAAATTATCATTTTGGAAATTTTATTTAGTAGAGACGGGCATAGATCAATTTTATCCCGATTATTATTTATAGGTTTGGCCCGGTTCGGGTTTGGATTTTTTGAGCTTTACGTAAGTTTTTAAAATGGTTTATTTTTAGGCCCGGATTGTTGAAAGCACCTAAGAGTCCATAAATTTATTTGGAGAGGCCTGGTATAAAAAATCTCTTTTGTAATTACTGATCTGAATAAAACTTTAAAAAAATATATATATATTCTCTTTATTTTAACATTATAACGGAATTTAAATCTATACCATCATTAGAATCAAGGATATGACATATGTCTGACGTATGATAACGTTAATCATGGCAGCGAAAATGTAATATAGAGGCGAAATTTTAGACGTCCAATGTTTTCTTTTGCGTCTTGCAATGCTCGTCGTCTGGCCACTAAATTTTAGGCAACATATAATTTATAAAAATAATATAGAATAGAAAGTATAACAAAGATATAAAAATGACTATGAAATAGTATATAGTTGAATTAATATGAGCATGCTAAACTTTGCTTTATAATTTTTAAAAAAGAGCAGATTACGTTCATATGAGGTTTTAAGATTTATAGGAAGAGCAGACAATTGGACAATGCTGCTCATTCCGTTCTCCGCAATTTTTAACCACCAGAGTTCGTTAAAAAAAATGTAAGGCTTCATATCCACAAAATATAATTAGAAAGATAATTTTTTTTTATAAAACCGATATTTTTTGGATAATTTAAACCCAAAAAATCACATCTCAGTGTACAAAATTTTTAAAATTTAAAACAACTAGTATAATTAATACTGTTTCGTTGTCATTCATTTGTCATTTATGATATCTTTTTAAATATAAATAAGAAATTCTATATTTCTTTCTCTTTTACGAATTTCGATAGTTTGGAAACTTAAAAAACCACATTAAATATAGAATCCCGAAAAAAACTGTACAAAAAAAACCGCAAGGAAAAAAAATTCGGGAAGATAATTAGGAATAAAAAAAAAATTGTAGGAAAAAAATCTGCAAGAATAGGTCATCGGAGAATAAATCTGTATATATTTAAAAATAAAACTACTAAGTTTAATTAGGACTGAAAACAATAGCAATATTTTCTTGGCTTTCAATACCAATATTTTGTTGGTTGTTTATTGTATTGTGTTTAAAACTAATACCCCTCTGTACCAATACCAATAGCTAATAAATCAATCCAATAATAATAGAATATTGGTTTAAGGGGCAATACCAATATATTATTCAAAAATGAATAAAGGAATTATCTAGTAAATTTTTGGTTTTATTTCGTGAATAATGCTAATATTTCATTTCTAATTTACCAAAATTTTTTGACCACTGAATATATTGATGCAGTAATGATTGATTTAGAAGGATTAAATAAAATATTGATCACTTATTTATATTATTAGTTTGGCATCTGTGAATAGTAGGAAATACATTCATTTCAATTTTATGATATAGTAACTGAAATCAAAGAACAGGGAACCAAAATCGGAATAATATTGACTCTACAAACATTTTTAACCATTATAAAAATGGTGATGTATATTTTAAAAGCAATCAAGAGTATTTATAATAATAAAAAATAAAGATGTTAATTCTTTTTTAATTTGTATGGATAATAAAACCAAACCAATATAAATCAATACCAATAGAATGAAATACAGGGAAAATATTATTTAAACAAATACAATAGTTTTGTATTCGTTTTAAGTTAGCCCTAAAAGTAATATTTAAGGGTAAGAATTAATTTAATTGTATACATGTATTTATATATTTTGACATGAGCAGGGTTCGACCTAGAGCAGTCATTGAAGAATTTTAAAAAAATGTTTGGCTCGGCAATTACAAGTATTTGCCGGGCCCGTATAAAAAATATGCACAAGCTTCCAGACTTGGCAAGTAATAATTTTCCATAAAGGGAAAATCATAAATTTGCATTATTCAAGCTATAAAATTGCGAAATTCCGGACCGGTTTAGAAAAATATTTTGCATAAATGGCCCGATTCGTTTTCAGGCCCAGCTGCTAGCCGAACTTTAGGGCGAGTCAAACCGTGCAGATTTCTAATGTTTATTTTCTTCACCGACATGACAATTCGTCGAAATTATTTGTAATCAGGGTTGGGCAGTAACGCGAATACTTGTATTTAAAATACTAAATACAATTACTTTTTTGTTGTGTATAGTATTTATCTGAATATTTTAGAAAGTATTTGTATTTTAAATACTAAAAAATAAAAAGTAATTTGTATTACTACGATTTTCCGACGAATACAAATACTTTTTCATTTTTTATTATATTATAATTCCATATTTACATATTTTTTTTAAATTTATTTTTTATAATACATAATAATTATATTAAAAATCATCATGATATAAAAATCTATAATATAGCATTTAAGAAAAAAATTAAAATGACATTTTAAAAAAAAAATTAATTAAAAAACAACATGGGAGGGAAGGGGGGGGGTAAAAAAAGGACTCTTATTGAGACCCGAGGAAACCAATATAGCTGCCTCGGAATACAGGATTTGAGTTAATTGTAACATTTTAAAAGCGGATCCATAATCACCATTAATTTGAGAAATTTCTTTTACCTAAAATATTAAAAAAATGATAGCCTAAGGACTAATTGATAGAAATAACTTTTGGGATAAAGTGAAAATCAGAAAAGTCGTAATACTTTCTAATTTTTGACCTTTCAGCTGTAATAATCGGATCAAGTTATGGTTAGAGGAAAAAAAGGTGTTTTCCTCCAAACCAAGAAATGTTTGTGAATTCATCTGGTCTTTTCCCATCCGACAGGGATAAGTGGAAGGGTTCCAGAAGGTTAGGATAGTTGGCAAACATTAATTTATTCGAGATTATAGAATTAATAGCCCTAAGTCGACTGAACCGGCCTTTAGAATATAAATAGTTTAGACCATGTCTGTTTATAAATATTAAATTTATAACCAAGTTAGCAAAAAAATTATCCAAATCAAAAGACCGAAAACAAGTTTTTTGAAGATGAGGAAGATATCATTAATGAGTTTCTATATTATAAGCTATTATGTTTTAAGATATTTTTACCGGAATTCTGTGACAAATCAACATATTCTAAATGTAATTTGACAATTTTGAATGGAAATTATTTCAATATATCATCAAAAATAAAAAATATAGTGATAGTCTACTCCACTAAAAATAAAACCAAAATCATAAATGGAACCATTTCACCCTCCATCAATTTATCATGCTTGGTAAAATGGTAATATCAATTATATTTGAAATTATTATATAATTTATGTGATATGCAACTGCTGTGACAATCAATATATTATTTATGTTTGTATATTACTGCAGATATTCGATAATTTTAGAAAATGATTAATAATAAAAATATTATTTAGGATGTGTCCAAAACATCAAAAAATTAAATTAACAAACTATCGATTAATGAAATAAAGAAGCTATTTTATATATAAAAACATGTCCAAAATATAATTCTTGAAAATTTTATAAATTTCAAAATATTTAGCATACGATTTTCTTCCAATTTTAAAATTTATGAAAGTTTTGTAACTTTTCGATTTTTTTAAAAGTAAAAAAAAATTGATAGTAGTAATAAAAAATCGACTTTCAAAAAAGTAAACGTATTTATTTATGTAAAAAGTTTTCATCAAAGTATTTGTATTTAAATACTTTTTTGAATTTTTTTTAGGTATTTAGTATTTAAAAATACATTTTTAAAAAAATATTGGTATTTATATTCGAATATATTTTTTCTGAAAATTTGCAAACCCTTGTTGTAATTCCCTTTGACAAAATTATAACATTTTTTTTTACCTTCCAAATATTATTATTTATTTTGATTGCTTTATCTTAATTCTAGTGAAACTCTAATTATCATTTTATCTTGAGAAAAGACGCGAAAGCATCATTTTCCATTTTATTAAGTATATTTTTTTAATGATCCGGCAGCCAGAATTCCTAGCCCTGTTTTATTTATTAAATTTGAAAGCCCGGACGAAACCCAACCGTTTAAGTCGGGCTTTGTAACAACTTGTTCGGCTCTACAGTGACAAATTCTCTACCCCCTTAATCCATCTGAGATAGTGGATATACATGAACAATACTTGATCCCCTTAGAACTACTTTCCCTTTCTCTATTTATATCAAATCGCCTATCGCTCAATTCTGCGATCTCTTCATTCATAATTCCCCATGATGGTCTTCTTTCAGCAGCAATAGAAAGATGGAATCTCCTAACCCCAGACGGTTATACATTTCCTACCGAAATCTCTAACAAATCTATCATCGACCCCCTAATAATACAAAATAGTCTTAACTCTACAGAAATCAGCGATATACAACTATTACAAAACAACGACAAATACGGCGGGCATGAATGGCTCGAAGCACTTCCAAACCAAACCTTAGATAATCTCTTAACCAATGACCAACTGGGAGTTACTATAGGCTTTAGACTAGGATGCTCGCTTACACATTCACACTCTTGCCACCAATGCAGCCTACCCGTTCAACCTAACGCCAGACACGGTCTAAACTGCACCCGCAGCCAAGGACGCCATCTCCGGCATAAAGCAATTAATAAAATCATACATAACGCTTTTAATAAGGCTAAAATACCCAACATCCTTGAACCTACCAACCTCTTATTACAAGACGGCCTTCGACCCGACGGCTTAACCTGCACCCCCTGGTCCAATGGGAAATCCCTTATTTGGGATACAACCTGCGTATCATCTTTTACTTCATCAATTAACACAAACCCTCTTACTTGTGGGGAAAATAAAAAAATTAATAAATACTCAAAATTAAATAACTATATTTCAGCCAATAGTCATTTCAACTAACGACAACTTTTCACAGTCTACATATATTTTTTTAAAAACTTTATCTCGAAAATTTTTTAGCATAACAAACGAAAACCGTGAATCTTTATTTCTTAAACAAAAACTTCAATTAGAAATTTTTAAACACAATTATACCTGCTTTTTAGGTACATTTTCATTATAAAATTAAGCTTTTTTTAGAGCTTTCGATACTTTTTTTAATATATATTTTTATTTAGTCATTTTATAAATTTTTACATATTTTTATATAGTTGTTTTAATATATTAGTGTTTTATCATTTCTTTTTAAAATTATATCAATATTTTACGAATTTGAATAAACAGAATTTAAAAAAAAAAAATATAGATTTCTAGACCTCAAAATAAAAATTTATTTTTTAAAAATTTTTATTCCTATAGATTTTTTTTCCCCCATAGTTTTTTTTTTAAGATTTTTTTTTTGAATAGTTTTTTAAATACCGATTTTTAATAATAAAATTTTGAACCTAATTGATACACTCTTTGTATCGATTTGACTTTCTGATCGTATATTTTTTGTAGCTAAGGTATCGGCTGAGCGAGGTTTCCCATCTAATTGAGTCGTCGTTGATAAGACCTTTGGAAGGTTTTGCGAACTGGCTAAGGCCTGACTAGATTTTTCGGTCAATAACTTTATGTATAGTAATAATGATTTTGTTAAAAATAGGCAATAGCGTAAATGGACTGGGTGGGCATTAACTATATAGTATTAAAGAATTAACAATTTTTTTTAATGAAATTAAAATAAAGATTTGTTTTTTTTGAATAAATTATATAAATTGTATAATTGCACCATTTTAGGGAGCTTGTATTCCCTCGCCCTTTTTTAAAAAAATATAGATTTTAATTTTCATATATTAAGTATGTGAGAAGATATGAAATGTTGTAAAAAAAATTTTTAACCAAATTTTTATTTATAGGAGGGGGGAAAATGCATTTTAAAAATATCGTTTATTAAATATTTTGAAATAAAATTTTATAGTAAAATGATGTATATAGAAATTCAAAAAAGTAAATCTTTTAAAAAATTGAAGATTCTAATTTAAGGGAGGGTGGGACAGAGATTCCGTTTACTGGCTTAATGATTGTAATAATATACATTTTTATAGTAAAAATTTACTAACATTGATGCAATTATTTATTATTAAGATCAAATTATATTATATGTATTTTAATTAAAATGCTATGTTTCTAAAATTGCATTTTCAAGTTTTTTTTATTGAAATGCTATGTTTTTATATCTGTTATGTCTTATAATTTTTCCTATTTTTTGTAATGTTCTGCCATGTAATGAATTATAATGACAATGTTGATTAGCCAGTTAATATAATTTATCTTATCTTTTATTTTAATATCCCTTTTTTAAACTACGATAATTTTTTTTTTCTACAGTCCTGGCAACTCGCACAAACATTTTACGGGCCATGTCAGACAAGGGCAAAAGATTTAATTCTTATAAAAAATATTGGAGGGCCGGTTTGAGCGGTGCCGCAACTTTCAAATCATATCTATTTAATCGATAAATAGATTTATGATTGTAGATCCTTTTTCATTTCAAGATATGTCAATCGTTCAAAGATTACTGAGATATTGTTCAACGATATTCGAAGAAAATTAAATTAAGGCCGGCATAAAATGTCGAGGATCAAACTGAAAAACTTTTTTTATCATCACAGGCCAGTCTGGGCTGGGTTGATCTCTATATATAATATTGTAAGTATTAAATATCTAATTAAAATTATTTTTACATTATCACTAATAACATAGCATAGCAAGCATTATTTTAAATAACCATTTTTATAGCATTTAAATCAAAAACTTAAAAACACAGCAATATTTAATATAAAACAATTAATATTTTTTATTGAAAAAACATAGCAAAAGCATTTAAATAGCTCCCTTTATTTTTTAGATTACTTTAGCTGTTTCTGTAATGGGAGTAGATTTTCTTTGAGATTGATCTCTGAGGTAAGTAGATAATCCCTGATTTTTTGATTCTAAATGCCTCATCTTTCATTATTAGAAAACATATAAATTAGTTATGTTTGAACTTTGGAGTGACTTTATAAAATAGGCTAAATCTTAAGGTGTGTGCCGAAAAAAATCGAAAAGCCTTGAGTCGCGTATTGATATTTCAAAATTCCCATACGGTTGATTGACTCATTATTTTAGACTAAAATCTCGATTCTGAGATTATAGTCTTTGATTAAAAACTCGGTTTCGCATTTTTTCCGAGTCAAAGGCTTAAAAGAGACGATTATAAATACTAAAGTGAATTAAAAAACATATTTATATTACAAATAAGTTTATAGAAATTACCGAGTAGCTAATTTTGATATTTATGCAGAGCAACCAATAGAGTGTCATGAGAAAAGCTGGATTTAGGTAAACGTCCCAACCGACAGGAAATAAATTCATTTCGTAAGGTGCTTCACAGTTGGTTTGAACTATGGCTGTCAATCCTAACAATCTAAAAATAAAATATATTCATTCCTTATGTATTTTTTATATATACTATCAGATCTTTCATGAAAAGAATTGATCAACTAGTCTAAAAGGGTGGCCATTAACATTTAATCTATTTTACCATAAATACCACTTGAACTAGCTTAATATATTATAACTTTTTTCCATTTTAAAAAGTATTGTAAACAATCATTCATGTTGCATTTTCTCACTCCAAGAATATTTTTAAATTCCACCTTCATCATTCCAATATAGCTAGCTAACCATTCATTACCTTAGGGCCTCAAATACTCCTTCGCCCACAACATCTCTTGCTAAAAAAAATTTCGCTATCTCAGTGCAAATCCTAAAAGAATATTTACACTTCAATAACTATCAAATAAAATTAAGATACCACTCTGTAATTACTAAAAAAAATATAATAGACATAGAAAATAACTTACTACTACTAGTTAGTCGCAAGCTTACATAATATATTATTTAATAATTATTATTTTTTTAAAAAATAATTAAATTAAAAAATAATTAAATTAAATTAATTATTATTTAGAGAAAACCTCGCAACCAGTTCCTCAGGTGGAAACAATATTTGTAAATTTTGAAATTGATACAAATACAGTGCTAATATATGGATAGCCACGTAAAAAAGCAAAAAAAATCGTAAACTCATCAGACAATTGAATGTGTGGTTGGTAGTTTTGTCGCTAACAGAACCATCTAAAAAATACAATTATTTTTTTAAGAGTTATCATTATAAAATACTAGGGCTATGCAACAAACAAAATAAATAACAATTATTTTGAATAATGCAAAACCAAAAAAAAAACTAACATTCAAAATTTAAAAAATACTTTAAAAATCGAGAAAAAATAGACAAAAAAGGAGTTCTTTTTTGCAGGCCTATGAAAATTTTAGTTTATATAAATAAATGCTTTTTATAAATTAGGCTGCGGCATATCTCGTCCTAATTTTTTATCTAAATTCTGAATTCTATGCATAAAAACAGCCAGCACACCCTTTGGGTTTTTTATATATAGGTATTGATACAAAGTCCTTTAAATAAGCTTAAACGTGTCAGATATTTAGAATTAAAAAATAAGACAAGCTAGTACGTTGTCTTAAGATTTTTATCAAAGAGTTTTTATACTAAGGCCTAAATGATCTCATTTCTTTTAGAAATTTGAATAGCATTTTTTTTAGGAATTTAGAATAGCATTTTTTTTAGGAATTCAGAATAGCATTCATTTCTTTTCCGAATAAAAAAATGAGACTTTTCAGAATTAAGAAAATATACTTTTTATAAGCGATTCGAGGATGAATAATTTGGTCTTTTTATCTTAATAAATAATAGATTGTTAAAATACAAAAATGTGGTATCTGTATCTAGATACATTTTTTTGTAAATAGTATCTGTATCTTGATACTATTTCAAAGTGTATCTCATTTTTAGACACTTTCTATATATATTTTAAAATAATTTTATTTACGTTTTTTATATTAAAAATAATGACATTTGAATTTGAATCAAATTCATAGAATATTATGTCCGAATTTATTTCATTATAAAAACTAATCAGGCAAATTTTATTTTACGCAATGGATATTAAGCAATGAACGACAAAATTTTTGAGAATGTTTTATATTTATTTAACAATTATTACTTGTAATTATATTTTTATATGTATTCTTAAAATGTAACAAATATTATTATATATATTTTTTTGAACTTATCAATTCTTTATTCAAATAAAATATTTGCATCTTGGATGAAAATATGACAGAAACATTCTATATTATAAAAGCTTACATTGTATTTAAAAAAAGGATGACTAAAAATACATTTCTAAAAAATTAGCTAAAAGAGGTGACTACAAAAAAAAAGAGTTAAAAAAAAAACTAAATAAATCATTCTTAAAAAAAAGTTTGAGGTCATCCAAGGGAGGAGTAGATGCTTAGGAAGTTATCTCGACAAATTTCTAAGGAGATCTTCTGTCATAGATAAAACCTCGTTGGGACCTCCGGTGTCTACATTTATTTCTTTTCCGAGGCTTTTGATTAATTGGAGCCTCGTCCCCAAAGATTCCCAGGGTGTTGGTAACTATGGATATAAAATATTATTTTGAAGATCCGTACATTTCTTTTTTTTAAGTTTCGGAGTAAGCCAAGGCAAAGTGTGAATTGTTTGATTTCACTGAGTAATCAATATAAGACCCAGGATAAGGGAAAACCATTAGAAGGTATCAAAGGTATACCATCAGGTCTTTTAGAACTGTATGTTGATTGTAGTAAATTAGTAGATAATAAGGTCAACTACTCAATACACTGCAAATATTTTCATAAGCGCTAGCCCGTAAGAAGAGGAATCAAAACCCGTTTTTTTTTAAATTTTAGGAACCGAAAACAACCTTTTTGAAAATAGTCAGAACCGGAAACCTTCCTCGTCCAAGTTTCAAACTCAGTATCTATCATATCAAATCAATTAATTTAATATTACATTCTAAATTATTTTATATATTTTCATTCTAAAGAGAAACGCTATTCAGAATTTAAAAAAAATAAATCTATGCTAGTCCTTCAGGGCCAGCCCAACAGTTCGACTCGCGGTAACATCAGCATCTATAAAGTATAGGCTGAGCCCCGAAAAATATTAATGTTATATTTTCTACCTATTCTTTCTTATTTTGTTGGATTTAAATATCACAATTATAGGCTTAGTTTTTAAAAATAATATATATCATTTTCTTTTATTCTCTCACGTAAGGAAGGCGATTTTTGATCTTGGCAAAATTGCGTGGTTCTAAAGAGGAATCGTTTGCAGCAAGCCCAGGCAGTAGCGCTCCCGATAAATATGAGGAAATAAAGGGCGCTAGGCAATGTCGGATAAATGACACCGCATCCGGCTAAGGCGGCGAATAAGCTGGCTTCACAAAGGGAGGCTATGAAGGGTGTCTTAGGTGACCCCGTTCCAGATTTAGATGGGCCACCGCCAGAGCCAAACAGGTTGAGACCACTCTCAACTACCAAATTCATGATGGAGGACCTGTGACCTTCGGCAGGTAGCGGATTGGTATTGTAGCCAGTTTCTATTAAAAAATAGCATAATATGAAGATGAGTATAAAAATTTGTTATAAGAAAGGAAGAATAATGGAATCCTTGTATTCTTTGTAGATATTAAGATAAATAAAACACCCACGAGACTTTCTTTTATGATGTGTTTTACAATCTCGAAAAATTTTTTTTAAATTTAATCAGGGTTCATTATTTTGAAATTAATTTTTTCCAATTTATCATTTGTTAAAATAATTTTAAAAAAATCTCAACTCATCATTTTCTCAATGTCATTTTTTTATTATCAATATTTATAATTGGATTTGGATATAATTTAACTCAATCTCAAATATAATAAAAATGACTACTTAAAGAAAGAAAATAAATCTCAAAAATAATGAATTCGAAAAAAACATAAAAAACTACAATTAAACAAAAATTTTATATAAAAAAAAATTAATCTTTAAATTAAATTTACTCTCCTCCTTTTTTTTTATTATCCCTAGCCATCTCATATAGACTAATCAGAGCCCACATTAGGTCTTAGCCCAGGGCATCCAAAGACTCGATGCTTGGCTCTAAATGTATTAAATATGGGGAGAAATGGAGCATGACTATTTTTTTTAAAAATTAGGGCAGTCCGGACTTTTTAGGGCTGGTTTTGAATCTAATTACAAATACACTACAAACTTGATCAAGTTTACTCTTAGTAAGAAATTCACCATCAGACGCATAGCTAGCTAGCAAATATTTTTGATAAATAAAAAAGGTTTTCACGAATTGTGAATTGCAAAGTATTCTATTTCAAGTAGGTTATATTCATTTATAAATTTTAGCAAAAATTTAAAATTTAATTAAATATTTCTTCTTTGTGTACAATATTTTATCCTGCGAAAAAATTAAAGTACATTTTCTGATCATTTTTTAAACCTTATATGCTGCTGTATAAGTATTGAATTTTCATTTATGAACGATATTTTGATTAATTTATAAATTAATATAATAGCAAGAATATTTTTTGACAATAATGTATTCGCTCTTAAATATTTTGTATTTTCCAATATTTTATTTTTTGTGTTGGAAGTTGTAATTTTTAAAATATGATTGGGTATAATATAATAAATTTTATACGATAATTAGTTTTATAAATTTTTAATGTTTATAAAAAAATCATTCCAATATTAAAAAAAAATTATAGACCCCTCCCCCTATATAAATTCCAGGTCATCCACTGTTCCACATTTCGCGTGGATAGGAGATCTAATAATGACAAATATATTTTATATATGGTATAAGGTAAGCAGGCATTTAAAAAATTAGGAGTTTTAAAATAGTAAATTAAGTATAGTATAAACAGTGAAAATTTTGGGGGTTGTAATTCACCACATATTTTTTTTAAAATGACTCCAATATTATGGGGGAAAATGAATTTATTTAAAGATCCCCTATTATTTTACCTTTTAATTCCAAATACACACACTTTTTAAATTTTAGAACGAGATTTTTGTTTAAAATTCTATTTTTTTAATGATTTCATATATAATTTCAAATGCCTAAAGATCCAGCCATGAACCGGCCTGTTGACCCGGAGAGGGCCGTAAAATGGTACCTTAAATATTAGGATCGAGCCTAAAATTACTATAGATTTTATGAGAGATTATTTTCAAAATTATATTAATATTTTCATATTATATGTTTTTTCCCAAGGGACCCGAAATAAAGGTATTTTTGCGTTCCTGCACCGTTTCGTTCCAGCCAAAAAAATATATTCCGTTTTTCGTGTCATGTTTTGGAAAGCGTTCCTAAAAATATCTAATTTTATTTTTACTTTATTAAATATTATATTAATCTTTAAAGTATTAATGATTAAGACATTTTCTAAATGATTATCATTTACATTTGCGCGATGGTGTTGATATAAATTTGAGTATCAAAAAACACCTCTCAACACTAACTTGGTAACAATATTATCCGTTAATTTTATTATACAATATTATTGGAAGAGATAGAAGGAAAATCCCCCATCTCACGAGCGATTCTACAGAATATTTCTATACTCGCCAGAACACTGGTTTAGAAATTAGCCGTTTAAATTTTTTATCAATTCACAGCCACATGTACCCTATTATCTATCATTAATATGTGGAAATTTTATTAGTATTTCATTTTAATCATTTTTTAGATATATATTTTCTTTTTTTTTGTTTTAACATTATATAAAATACATATATATTATATGTTCTTATAAATTTAAAAATATTACCATTTGAATATGAATCAAAATCATGTTTAAAATAAAAATAAGAAATTTTTTTTAATAATCTTGATTATTCTTAAAATCAATCCTATAATAAAAATACCAAATAATGGGTAATATTATTGTTATTTGAAGCAGCAAATTGAAATAAAATAAAAAAAGAATATTTAAGAATGAGCTTTGTATATAATTAAGCAATAAATTAAAGTTTTCATTATTTTAGGAACGTTCTAAAACTGTTTCGGGAACGTTCCCGTGTTCACCCCTCCAATTCCTTTCAAGCTTTATAATTCTGCAAGTCCGTTCCCTGAACGTGTCGGGAACGTTCGGCTATATCTCCCTGCTTTTTTCATATTTTATGTTTATAAATTTAATTATATATATTATATCTATATATAGTTTTACAAAAATTTGCCATTTTTATATTTTTTATTATTTCTTACAACTGTATAAACATTAAAATATTTGTGTATTTTAATTTATTTATTTTTGGTGGAAACAATTTTCAAATCCTTCTTTAAAGAAATCCCTGAATCCGTGTCTGCAAATATACCACATAATTTGTATAATATAGTCAGAATGATATTAAAAAATATAAAGACCTTGAATGGCAAGATCTAAATGAGTGTAAAAAATAAGATAAATTAGAATATAATGGTGAAAATAACCCTCAATATCCTCGAGTACTAGCTTTTTGCTTTCGGAGATAGTTGGCAATGGGGCAATAAGTGATTTGGATTCATGGATTGCGGGTGAAGAAGGCGGTGTTTGCGCAATTTTTGATTTAGCGGCTGCAAGAGCAAATTTATCGCTGTCATCATAAGGTTTCATTTTGTGGCACAAAATGAGGACGAGGGTACTCACCAACATAACCATAAGGTCGGGGGCGATTAAGCGAGTTATTTGCAAAGGGGAAGCTTGATGTAACTTCTGGTAACCTAGCTCCCTTACGACCCTTTCTATAAAAGTACCTATATGATAATAATATATTTGTAATTAAATTACCAAAAAAAAATTATTCTATCCCACACATATATAAAAAATAAACAAAAAACGTTTAATATTAAAATTGTGGTCAAATATTGTATAATTAAAAAGTGTATTGATACTTCTTATTTAATATCAAAACGGTCTGGCCCGTCGTGGAGATTTTTCGTGGTAATATTTATAGCCCAACCATTATAAATTTTTGTGGAAAAAAATTATAAATCCGGGCCAGCCCATTTTGCACAAGTTACCTGATTATTAATTGGCTCAGCTTGCAGGCCCTGATTTCGGGCCGATCTATAGTTTATATCTGTAAAAAGATATTTAAGTTTTTTTCTACGATTGGATTTTGAATATTTAGAAATTGTTATAAATGCAGTTAATCTATTAAAAAAGATTTTTTGGTTTTGGGTGGAAAAAAAAGATTTATAAAAAAACTCGATAAAATTATATATTTTGTTTTGGAGACATTTAATAAACTATTTTATTAAAAAACATTTTTTTTATAAAAGATCGTGCAAGCACTCCACCTTATTCCAAAAATATAACAAATTTAGAGGTGATCGTATTTTAATTTTCTATCGGTGAGGAGTAGGGGTCTAAAAAATTTTAACTTTTAGCCGTAAGAGCAAAATTTGACCTTCCCAAATTTTTTACCCTAAAATGGGACTTTATTTTAAAATACTAGGTGATTTACTTTTATGTCCCCGAGGGATTTCTACAACCGGGAGTATGACTCATGATATTCCTTGAAATTAGTGGGGGGGGGATATTATGAAGATTATAGTGAAGTAATAATGAAGACATTATTGTCATCTGAATATAAATGAAAGGGAGCGGTTTTGAATTGAATTTTTTTTGCTAATTTCGATTTGGTATCAGGTCAAATTTTAGAGGGGGGGGTAGGTGGTAAAATTTTTGAGAAGTGATAAATCATCGTTAACTGAGGAAGGAGGGGGAGGGGGGGGGGTAATAATTATGAATAAAGTGAAGTATTTGTTGAAAATTTTCCTTAAGCGAAAAATGTGAAACCTTGTTGCGTATTCTGCCTAAAAGAATAAAAACGATAAAACCAAGCATTAGATCTGAATGGAGATTAATGGAGTTCATTTTGATTCGAATACTACTATTTTAATATATAATCATATAATTGATCCATATTAATAGAAGTTATCTTTGGAGTATTTTTTAGTCCGGTGTTCTAATAATATTTAGAGTAGTATATCAATCAGATGCGCATCCAGAATTCTTAACTATTACAACATCAAGGTTCTTCAAAAAAATAATTTTTTTATATTTAAGCTTGTATATTTTAAAATTATATAAATTTATCAAGTTTTATTTTATAAAATGACTATTTTCAGACCTGGGGTAGGATTTATATGCTTATTATACATAATCCATCTAAAGTTAATTTTCTAAAATCGTTTTTTCCTGAGCTAAATTTAGTCATCTATCAAACAACTCATAATTCGAATAATAAAAAAAAGAAAAAAATATTATCAGAGCCAATCTTATTCCTATCATCCCAAATAATTTTTAATCCATTCTAAAATATATTTAATTTTTAAAAGCTATTAGCTGATTATGGTTTATGATACGAGCATGACAGGTTAATTTTATCTAAAAAATATATAATTATGATTGCAATTTTATAAATTATTTAATAAAATTAAATAATAGATAAAACCAATTTTATATATATTATTTCATATTGAGTATAAAATATAAGATTAATTTACAATTGGATAGCATGTGTCCGTAAGGCGGCATAGCTAGGAGAGATACGTGGAATATCAGATGTCCCAAACAAGCTAAAGCACTGAATACTATGATGAACTTTAAATATCTTCCTGTAGGCCCTATAAAATTTAAGATCAACATATAAAAATAATTATTTAATTCGTTAACATTTTATAGTTGTATCACTAGGGAGCAGACATTTAAAGCTTTGAAAATGACTTTAAAATCGAAGAGAATTGTAAATTATAAGAATAGAAAAAGAGGGAAAACCATATGGAGATGGGTATAAAGAAACTTGTACCGAACTTATTCTTAATTTTTTCAAAGAGGTCATGTCTAAAAAATTTAATCTGACCGTTGTCCAATTTGAAGCGGAAGAGAGATCAGTGCAAGACTCTTGTGAAGAGACATGGGAATATTTGGTCAAAGGGAACAATATGTCCAGTAATTTATTTAAAATTATTTAAGTATATGTCACAAATTTAAACAGATTGAATTATAATATACACCATCGATAAAAATAATTTCCCATACGTCAACTCATAATTTTATTAAAAAATATATTTTTATACGCTAAAATAACAATGCATTTTAGTAACCTAAATTTTTAATAATTAGTTTAAGTAGAGTAAATAATAAATCAATCAAAGCCTAAATTGTATTAGAATGTGCTGGTTTTATATCACAAATTAACGATTAAAATTTTTTATCATCCTTTAGTCGTTGATGAGGGCTCATAAGCAGGGTTGCCATGTCTCCCCCCATCAGTGGGAGTCTCCCACAATTTTTTAGTTTGCCCACATACATCTCACTCCCACAATTAGAAATCTCCCACAATATTGTAATTTCTCCCACAATTTTTTTTTTAGCATTTTAATGTTTTTTATATATAAATAATAATTTTGAGAGACAGTATTTGATTATTTTTATATTTTTAAAATAAATTTTAAATATTTATTCGAAAAATATGTCTAGTTCTTTTATTTTATTTTTCCGCTCTAAAATATATTTTTTATAAAATTCTCCAATTCTCCACTCGACATGTTCAAAATTTTTGTGTTAGAAAGAATAGAAGTTAGAACAGTATGTATAATTATTATAAATATATTTTAAATTACTTAATATATTTTATAACGTTATCTAGAATTGCAGTGCTCCACTCGACATTTTTCTATAAAACTATTGAAATTTTTTTCATCCGATAGTGAAAAATCTAACGATATAGCTAACGACATAATGGTAAATATAGCTGATTTAGGGTTATCAATGAGTTGCATGTCAGCTTTCTGCGCTGATAATGCCTCTGTTAATTTTGGCAAAAATCAAAGTGTATTTACCGAATTGAGGCAGCACAATAATGAATTAATACCAATTGGCTGTATATGCCATATACTGCATAATTCTTGCAAGAAGGCAATGAATGTACTATCTGTAGATATCGAAGTAATTGTGATGAAATGTTTTAACGAATTTAGTTCATCAACTAAAAGAGTCACTGAATTAAAAGAATTGGTGGAGTGGTCTGATTTGGAATGGTGTGAGTTGTTGCGATATGTACCTATCAGGTGGTTATCATTAATACCTGCCATCGAGAGAATTTTAAAATTTTACGAACCCTTAAAGAAATACTTCTTAAATAAAGATTTTAAAAGCTGTCCTAAAATTTTGAAAAATTTTTTCGAGGATGAAATGTCAGAAGCATATTTAGGATTAGTTTCACATGTAGGAAATCTACTTCATGTAGTTAATATTCTGCTGCAATCAGAAGATTCTTTATTGATAAAGATTCACAAAATCATGCTACAGCTCTATTCATCTCTACGGTTAAAAATAGATAATAAATTTTATGGCGCTATTGCTAAAAATATTATATTAAAATGTTCAAATAATACTCTAATTAATACATTTTTAAATAAAGCAGATATTTTTATTAAGACAATTTTAGAATATTTACAATCAAAATTTGATTTTAATAACTCTATTTACAAATGTTTAAATATTATGACCTTGGAACAAAAACCATCATTTGATGGTTTATGTAATTTAATAAATATATTAAAATTACCGATAGACATTGAAGCCTTGTTTGAAGAGATTGTAATTTTTTCCATTTTTTATGATTCGCCAGAATACTTAAAGTTAGATGGTCTAAAAGCAGAGGAGAAATGGGTGGAATTTTTTCGTAATAACGATAAATCCCCATGCTTGGAAAAAATTTGCGAGTATGTTTTCTCCTTACCTAATTCTAATGTCTCATCGGAGCGCATTTTTAGCCTGATGAGGACTGCCTGGAGAAAGGAGAGAAATCGAATTGCTTTAACAACATTAGAGGCCGAGTTAATGGTTAAACAAAATTATAAAATGTCATGCCAGGAATTTTATAAATATTTTAATAACGACGGTAAACGTTTAGTTCCATCATTTAAATCTCAAATAAAATATAATTAACTATAACTATTTGACTTTCTATATTTTATAAAATCTTATTTATACATTTGCAGAAAATCAAATAAATTTATTTTTTACATTGTAAAATTAATATTTTGAATATTTTGGCAAATCATAAAAATAAAGTAGCATTACAATCTCCTCAAACATGACATCATATTAAATCTTATTAATAATTATCCGATAATAGTAATAATATTCTTACTTTGGTATTTCTGCAGCATAATTTAGTGAACCTTTATTAAATTATATTCTTCTGATTGCAACTGCATATTAACAGCATATAGTAGATTTCCTATATGTAAAATTCCTAAATATACTTCTGCCATTTATTTTTGAAAATTATTTTCAAAATATTAGGACAGCTTTTATAATCTATTTATTTTTTAAAGGTTTGTAAAATTTTAAAATTCTACGATGGCGCGTATTAGGAGGAACCTGTCAACCAACATTATGCTGACTCAATTCTATAAATACACTCTGGTTTTTGCCAAATTCACCTGAGGAATTATCAGATGAGAAAGCTGCCATGCAATTCATTGGTAATGCCAAATCTGCCATATTTACCATTATGTATGGTTAGCTATGTCTTTGGATATTTCATATCTGGAGAAAATTTTTTTAATAGTTTTATTGAAATGACATTAATTTTGTTGAAATAGGGGAGGATCAAGGGAAATGTTTTGATATCTCCTTATTTGATGCATCTATTAGAATTGCATATGTTTTCACATCTTTCAAATCGTCAAGAATTGACCTTCTGGATTTATATCCTAAAACAATGATGATAGCCTTGCTCATTTGTGTTCTACAAAGTATACTTTTCATTTATATTATTCGTTAAATATTATGGGGAAATATTCTACCAACATTGTGATGTTAGCTCTCTGAATGTTGTACCGAATGATAGGTATTTACCAGTTCCGCAACTGTAGTTGCATCTGTATTATTTCTTATTTTTGAAGAATATTTTTGTTTTGCAATAGATGTTGATATACTGCCATGTACTGATTTATGCTTTGAAGATTTTTGATGCCTCAAAATATCATATTCCATTCCCCCATTGTATTAACTAAATACTGTAGAACAACTTCCCCGCACTGATTATAATTATTTTTTACATTGTAAATTTAAAATTGTTTGTTTTTTTATAAAATATTATTTATACATTAGCATAAAATATATTTTTTACATTGTAAAATTACAATTTTTTATAAAATTATATCTTTGTTTACATTCTTTTGTATTTAAAAAAGATCGTTGGTTATTATTTTTAACAAAATTAATATATTATAATAAATCAATATGTTATTTTAATAATAAAGATAGTATTTAAGAAATTTTGTGTCGTACGATAATTACCTATTTTGAAAAATAGTTGCGTATTATATTTTGGAAAATAGTTACCTATTTTATTTTGAAAAAGAGTTGGATATTTCATTTTGAAAAATAGTTGGCTATTTTATATTGAAAAATAGTTGGCTATTTTATTTTGAAAAATTGTTGGCTATTTTATTTTGAAAAATAGTTGGCTATTTTATTTTGAAAAATAGTTGGCTATTTTATTTTGAAAAATAATTAGCCTATTTTATTTTGAAAAATAATTACCTATTTTATTTTGGAAAATAGATTTGATTTTATATTTATAAAAAATAATAAGCGGATAACTAAGTCAATTCTAAATCCCGGCCGGCCCGCAAAAATTTTTTTTTTAATCAATTTTCATATTTCTCCCACAATTTTTATATTACTCCCACAAAATACCGAATTTCTCCCACAATTTGAAAATTTTGACCTGGCAACCCTGCTCATAAGACTGAAACATGTAGTGCCATTTATATCAATAAAATATAACTTTTTATACAATATTAAAAAAAATTACGATTTTTAAGTGTTTTTTTATCATTAATAAAAGGATATTTTATTATTAATATCTAATATTCTTTATATATTCTTATTTGTGGTCTTCTCTTATGTACCTTGTTATCATGTCTAACCTACAGAGGGATCACTAGACTACTAATTTTTGCTCAAATTTTTTTTATATTACGATATATAAATTTTTTCTCATATTTTGCTCGTAATCTTTTTATAATAAATTATTTGAAGATTGCATCCAAAACTTGTTTCAAATCTTTAAGCTTTAAGGAGACCTAATGCTATAGTTCAAAAGATTTCAAAAAATACCATATTTTATTTTCTATTGGCATCTTTTATATTTTAAAGTTTTCGAATTAAATTTTTAATTTTTTGAAAGCAGCCTAAACATATATGGATCTAAAAGTTAAACTGCAATATTCAAATATAAAAATATAGACTGAAAAAATGCTAAATTCGGAACAGTTTCTATTTTATTTTTGCAGTTAAAATAAGCTCATTGCATCTACAAGGCATAGGAGCATATTCATGAATAGAATTGATACAAATATTATTAATAAAAATAATTAAATAATCATAGCCTATTCACTTCCTGGCCAATCGCTGACATACATGTTTCTATATGTTTTATTGCGATCTTGTGCATGTACAGAAATTAAACGGTATATGGTCAACTTTATATTTGTAAACAAATATGTTTAAATTGTAATGTATGATAAAAGGTGTAATTATAATAGAACCTAAAAAACAATAGATGATAAAATACAATAACCGCTTTTAATTTATTACATATTTTTTTTGTAATTCATTTCTCATTAAAAATAAGAAATTTGTAAAAGATTTGTTCAAATGAAGGAGAACAAACAATATCATCCACTTAAAAAGGATATTTAATATCATTTTTTTTAAAGTAAAATATTTCGTTTCACCAAAAAGTAAAGAAAAAGAATAATCAAATTAATTTTGATAGTGATAAAATCAAAGCTTCAACAACAAATAATATCAATGAAATATCGCCATCTAATTTTTGTAGATGCTGTTAAAACACAAAATCTTTTTAAAAATAATTTCAAATTGTAATAATATGTATATAATATTCCTTTAGCCCTATACAAATTTTCTAAATAGGATATTATTACCAGAAATGTATTATTTACGGGCTCCATTGTTCTCAGGTGAAAACCCCATCTTGTAGAACTTAAGGCATCTATATATTAATTTTCAGTCGTGGTGAATAACAGATTTTGAAAACAACTGTGTATATTTTGAACATTAAAAAAGTGGCCTAATTTACTTACCAAATTTAGTTTATCGCATTGGCATTCCTTCAATTGAATTTTGTTACAAAATTTTAAGAGTATTACAATTAGTTAGTGATTTCGCATAGGTCAAAGTTTTAACTGGACTGTTCTTTTTAGTATATCGGATGAAAATACAAATTTGCTGATATAAACTGATATCAGATTGGTTAATTTGTGAGGTAAAATTTCAAAATTACATTCCCAAATGTGGCTATCATTAAATCTTGTGATTTTGGTGATAAATAATGAGCATTGACAAGTGGCTGATATGTCATTAAAATAAGATGTATAATCTCTTTTTTTAACATAAAAACATTTTACAATAATCACTTTTTTAGTTATAACTAGATATATCCGATATAATAAAGGATTCTATTATATATCAATTGAAAAAATATGATAAATTACGTTTAGAATAGGAATTACTCAGAGGATTTTGCTTTGCAATTGCAATAGGACCTGCTTACAATTTATATTATTTATTTGATCATTTTTGTATATAATCTAAAAATAATATTAATTTAAAATTTTTACAAATTAAAACTTGTTTTCGTATGTTAAATAATATGTTTTCAAACTCGGCTCACAAAATTATTTTTTAAATTTTTACGCAATTAAATTGTTTATTGGGTAATGCTAAAAATCTTAAAATTAAGTTTTGTATTTTCTAAAAATTTGAAGGGGTTTGCCCCCAATAGCAGTCCTCTCCTATTAATGCCACTGTCAATCTATCCTTTTTCAGCTTGAAAAAATAGAAATTTACTCAGCTACTTGAGATTTTAGACACATTTTCTTTAATATTCACAGCCTCTATAAGGGTCCATACAAAATCCGGTTCGTTATGTCACAGTCTTTCCTACCCTTAAACTTTTAATCAAAATCAATAATGACCATAATTGTCTTAAAAAAATGAATTTTTATTCAACATTTAATTTATCTTATAAATATTGTAGAGCCTTGCACAGATACCTGACTACGAATTTGACAAAATAATTATTTTATTTTCCTAATGATTTTATAAGATATTTCAGATTGGATCGGACTTGGATTTTTAAAAAAAGTCTTGGATCAGATCGGTCGGACAAAAAATATTTTTCTGGGATCGAATTGGACCTTTTTTTAAATATTGCTTGAAATGAATTAATTAATATAATAACGAATTAATGAGAGTGCATAGCAATATTTTGGCAGGTGGTATATATTTAATATGAAAAAAAATTATAAAAATTTTACCCAACATTGACTTTGATGTAGGGGTTGGAAGAAGCGGAGCAATAAGCAAACATATCAAATAGACTAAAGAGAGTACATTGATTCTTATAATTGCACCTTAATGGATAAATGTAAATAAAATATTTTTGATCTGGTCATTTCCTTTAAATTGTAATAATTTCTCTTCAATTTGCATTACTGATCTGCAGAGGTCAAACTTGTAAGCAAGGTTATTAATTTAAATTCCGTTTCATTTTCAAACGCGGCCGGATTTTTTTAAAAATATTTTTGCTGACTCCGGTTTATTATTTTAAACAAGGCCCGGATTTTAAAAATTTTGAACCAGACAGGGTTTTTAAAAATTTATTATTTTAAATTATTTCGGTTGAAATGTAAATTGTTACAGAGAGGAATTCGAAAATATAACGGTTATTAAAGTTAGTGATCTGCATCGGGCCTAATTTTTCAAGCCCAGCCCGGCCCAAAATTTTTTTAAAAAAGTTTTGCCGGCCCGGCCCGAACTCGAATTTTTTTTTAAAAAAATTTACCGGCCCGATTCGGCCCGAATTTATTTAAATAGAGAAATTAATTTTCATAATTACTCAAAATAAAAGACATATGTTATATGTCGTTTAGTTTCAATAAATAAAATCAAATATTTTTATTTTACATAAAAAATATCAATATAAAATTGATAAATTTAGATATATTTAAAAAAAATTTCCAAGGTCCGACCCGACCCGGCCCGAACCCGATTATTTTAAATAAAATGGCCGGACCCCGGGTACGGACCGGGCCTAACTTTGCCTAATTAAAGTAACATATTACTTTATATTTTAATTATTTTTTATATTATTGTTTAATGGAAAGCCTTAAAAAATTTCCAAACATTAAAACTATCTTCATTCATTTTTTTCACCTACTGAACGGGTTATATAATATTTTTTCTTAGTAATGGTTAGGTATTTAAAAGATGAAAAGTAATGGTGTTACCTTTGTTGAAAAGTGAGATAATGGCATTATATTTTTTTAAAAGTAAGGTAATGGCGTTACTATTTTTACAGAGTAGCGCTAAATATAACGACGTTACTTTTTTGAATAACATTGACAGCTCTAGTACAAAATGATTAGTCGATATAATTTTTTTTTAATTTTTTTAAAGTGGTGTTCGGGTTTTAAAACAAAAAATAGACAGGCTGAGTTCGTAAATTTATAAACTTGGTTGGGTTTTTAAAATTATCCCATTTTACGGAATGCCCGTGGCGTGTATGTGGCCCGAATTTCTAGCCTGCAGATATCTGATGGTATTTATTCAAATCAAATGGTGTTATTTGTATTATATGTATATGGTATAATGCTTGGTTTAGTATCAAATTTTCTATTTTAATGTAAATATTTATTTAGTAAATATATCAGAGATATACCGTACCGCGATACTGTCCATTTTTATCCACCGATACCCTATAATAATTAACCCTCATAAATTAAAAAAAATTGGCCTACAATCAGCCACAAATTGATAAGAAAGTACATATTTCTAAACAGTTAAGAAAAAAATTATTTTTTCCTATTTATTTTTACTTTTAAAATTTTGTTGCGGAATTAATTTTATTATGAGGAATGATTAATATTATATTAAAATAAATTACGACGCATTAATAATGAAAGCCATTTTTATGGCTTAAATTAAAAATCAAAGAATATCTTTGTGAAAATGGAAACTGGGAAGAATTTATATTTATCTTTTTCTATTCGTTAATTTTTATATAAAAAAATTAGCATCGATGGTATCGGAACCTCTTTATTACACATAAACTTTAGTAATGTATACTCTTAAAAAATATTTTAAGCACAAAATTTAAAACAATCGGGAGTGAGCAAAATACTCAAATAAATGTCTTTCGTTACTAGATTCAGTTATTTTCAAAATTTCATTCAAAATAAATGAAGTTTGTAACTTAAATTATGTAATTCTTATCAAATGATTTTGTTACGGGTCCCGTGCCAACCCCATGAAGATACTAACTAATATAGAAAGCATCATAAAAATCGTTTTTTTTTTAAATAGAAAAATATATTAAATTTTAATGCTAACACCTTTGAAATAATAGTAATGGCATAAATAAATTCTCTGATAATATTGCATTGGGTTATCAAAAAGGCTACGATAACATTTTAAGGAAATCATAATATATCTATCAAAAAAAATATTTTAGTTTATCTAGGATTTCTAGGAGGGTGAGTGGGGGAGAGGGAGTTAAGAAATCATTTATAAATAAATAAAAATTGCATATAGAAAGAGAAGGGCATGTCATTTTAGATAACTTAAAAAGTTTAATCTAAATTATTTTATTTGTTTTTTTCAGAAAAATTGCAAATAATAACCCCTTGCTTTTCCATCCCTTCCCTAAATAAACATATGATCAAAATTAGAGCAGGACATAATTTTGCATAAATAAATTTAATAGGTATAAAAATTAACATTTAGTATTGTATACTATTAATCATCATATTAAAATTTTTTATTGCATTAATCTACAACCGTTTTTAAAAAAGGCATGTTGTTGGTAATGCCAATTATAAATAGGGTTGGCATGATATCAAATTAATTAAAATTGTAATTTAAGTATATATGATTTTTCTTTGAATAAAAATCATGATTATAAATTCACTCTTTTGTTTGTATTTTAATCATTAGTTGTTTTTTTTTAAATAAAAACATTTTAGTGGGCATAAATTATCTATAAAAATAATTAATATTGTTCAAATTAAATGTTTAAATGTCTACTTTATATTTGTCGATTCTAAGATTAATTCAGCTGCAGTTTATAAATATTAATTTAATTAAAATAATCTAACAGTTAACAAATAGTATTATTTTAATTATATAATCAAAATGTTTATCATAGATGGGGAAATATTAAATATTGTTAACATTATGATAAAATATTTTTCTGTCAATTCACGATAGCTAATTTAATTTAAGTTTACTATAAAAATTTGATCTAAATCAAAAAAATAGCAATTTAATAAAATAAATCATGTCAACCCTATAATAAATATCTAATTTTTTATTAGTATAAAATATACTATTTCATAAAAGTTAGATAGAATGTTTATGGCACTAGCACTTTTGCTTTAATCTTAACACTACAATGATTTTAATAAGTTGTAAAAATTTCAAAGCAATATAAAAATTCGAATGAGTTATACAATTTTAAAATGAAGCTAATTTTACCTCACCTTATACCAAATCACAATTTTTTATACCTCCTCGAGTGTTTAAATTTAAACATATTTATAGTAATAACGTGTTTATTTAAAAAAAGGTATTGATTTTAAATAATCAAATAAGATAATATAACAGGTAAATGAGTATACAAATAGTATATTTAAGGTTTATAAAGCGACTTAATGGAGAGTTTGCGTGGTTATGCAAAACGCAAAGAATGCATTTCAAATAGGCAAATTGATCATAATTTATAAACATTAATAAAAGCGCAAACTGGTTTGCTTTTTTAAAAAATGCTCAATTAGGTCGCACTATTATATTTAAATCCGTGTCCTATAATAAAATATGATTTAAAAATTAAAACAAATTTTAAAATTAAAAAGAAATGATTCATCCCTTTTTACCTATCAGGATAAAAAGTGAAAAATCGAGAATTAAAAGCTCGTACAGGCCCGAACAAACGTAATGAAAATATCGCATTTGTGTGGTGAATATAGAGGGTCTGCTCAAAAACCGATCACGCTTTCTAGAGAAAGCTGCAGTGTCAGAATTCATAAAAGATGAGTGATCGAAGTGGGCAGGAATGGTTACCCTTCTTTTGGTCCTCTGCCTCAATACTGGGTCAGCGATGGCGTGTGGGCTATCGTTATCTAATAGATCATTTTCCCGTATTTCCTGATGATTTAACATGTTGTGATCGTTTAATACAAATGTGTTGTACGTTTTGCTTGCAGTGGGTAATTTCCCATTTTCTTTGGAGCCCGACTCCAGTTTATCGTCAGGGGATAGAGTTGGTTGAAATATACGCGATAGCAGGGATTTCCGTTTTGCATTGACCGAAGAATTGTTAAGCCTCTTTTTGTATATCGTGTCTTCCTCCGCATCCGAATCGGCGAACTTTGACTGCAAGCTAACAGGAGCAAGACTTTTGAACCGGTGTTTAAGCTTAGATTTATTAGGAGTTTTTATGAGGTATTCGGTTGATAAGGACAAAGGATTTAGTTGGGGACTGGTGGTGGAAGAAGCGCTAGAAAGATAAGGTGTGTTCATATTATTTGTTTTATTGTCCTGAATAAATTTTGCTTCGCCTGACACGCCATTATTAGATTGAATATCTTCTACACGGTTAGAAGGAATTTTGAGATCTTTCATTTCTTGGTCCATAATTAATTATATTTTTTTAGACTGTTTGAGAAAACAAGTGGGATATCAAAATGTGTCATTGTTAGCGACGATTATTCATTCAGAATAATGTGTTGAAGGTGTTATATTTTTTTTATTGCTAATTTATTTTAAAAGAATAATATAATTCCTCATTGTGTTGATTAATGATCACCACAAACAGTTTGGTATAAATGGAATTATTCTCAAGCATGCATTTTAAATAATGTTTATTTTTATATTTAAAATTTAATCATTTTTGTGGGTGCATTTTTATATATTTAAAAAAATAAAATATACAGATAATAATTTTTTTCCCCCCAAAAAACAATATTGATTTATTTATAGTTTTATTTTTATCAATAATTTCTTTCTTGAAATTATCAATATTAGCAAATATTCCAATCCATTTTTTTTCAATATTTTTTTTAATTTGTAATAAAACGATTTGAAACAAATATAATAGTTTAGAAATAAATTTATTTTTAACTGTTGTACTCTTATAAATTTAAAATAATTTGAAAATGCAAAAATATATAAAGGTATACAATTTCAAATATTTTAATCAATATACTTTTTTTGAAAATATATAAATAATTTAAATGGTAAATATATACTAAATTTGGCAATTTGTTTTATATTATAGATAAATATTTGTATTTTACTATACATATATAATATAATTGAATTCATATTCAATGCAGCCAAATTAAGCATTACTAAC